GAAACAGAGCACAGGTGGTTGGGTGGGGACGCGGGGCCTCACTGCATAGGAGGAAAGAAGCAGGTATTTCTTAGGCTGAGTCGGTGTAACTGGGAGCTGCAGGTACCCTCTTCTGGTCTGCTTTTTCCTCTGGTGGCCTTTTGCAGAAAATGCAGTGATTTCTGTGCCAGTCATTTTGCCATCGAGGGGCAGCAGCAATCTGCAGTTTGGAATTTACAGTGGTTTCTTAAACACTGGCATTTTTTCGGACTGGAGTGTGGCTCACTGGTAGAGCGCTTACCTAGCATGGGCAAAGCCCTGGGTCCAGCCCCAGCACACACACATACACAAAAGCTCCTGTTTCTAGAAGCCAGTGTACTTCTGCATTTTTCTGGATTGTGTATAAATGGTGGTTTAAAACTGAGTAAGACTGTGAACATACATTGGACTTCTTCAGAACTTACTTTCCATGGGCAGAAGCTGGGTCTTCCTCTTAACTAATCTCACTGTTGGTCCTCCTGATTCCTGCAGGAGCTAATGGGTTTGGGGCGTCAGGAAAAAGCCTGTGACTTAGAAGCATCCGTGGGAAACTGAGTCACGCAGAAACAAAGCTGCAGAAAAGCAGTCCCTGCGAACTGGAGCCTTCTAGCGGGGGCTCTTTTGCCCACCTGGTTGGAGCTCCTGGGTGGGGTCATCACACCTGCCATGTAAGCTTCCTCAGATATCTGACTTGCTCCCAGAGACACTCCAAAAAATCCAAAAGCCAACGCAAAACAGGTTCTAAAAATCATCACGAGGACAGGCTGTGGTCTGAGTGTTGCTGAGAATGAGTGTGTTTTTCCATTTGGGCCAGAGGCGCTTTCACACTGTCACTGTTCATCCCTGCCTCTCCTCCAGGTCCCCTTGCAGGGGCAGCTCAGTGCCGCAGCCCCAGATCAATCGCTCCTCTCAGCAGGGGCAGACAGTGTTAATTGAGTGCCAAGGGCCCCCTTTTTTCCCTTTTCTTTCTGTCTTTCTCTCGTCCAGTGCTGGGGATGGAACCCAGGCCTCCTGCATGCTAAGCGGAACGACTTGCTACCTCCAGGCCAAGGGCGGAACGACTGATTCCTGCCAAACACTCAACTACAAATCGAGTCTGTCCCCTGCAGAAAGGTGGCTGTATGTGTGTCCCAGCAGCTTCAGTGAGATGCTACTCACATGCCATATAACTCACCCATTCTAGCGTGCCCTTCAGTACTCTTAATATATTCACAGAGTCGCCGTAACTGATGTTAGGGCCCAAAGAGAAACCTAATTTCCATTAGCCATTACCCTCCAGTCTCCCACAGTCCTAGACTTGGTTGGTTTGTTTTGTGGTGCTGGGGATGAACCCAAGGCCTCACGCATACTAGGCAGGGACTCCACCACCAAGCCACATTCCCATGTGCCCATTCTGGACACTTCCATAGATGGCTCATCTTCTGGGTGGTCTTTTTTCTGACTTCCTCCGCTGGGCATGGCGTCCTCGGGCTTATCTGAGCTGCAGCATGTGTGTGGTTGAACATTTTCATTGTGTGGACGCCCTGGACCACATTGTGTCCATCCATTCATCAGTCAATGGACTTTGGGTGATTTCCACTTGGCTTCCATAACTTGTGCGCTGTGAACAATCCTGTGTGATATTTGTGTGGACGTGTGTCTCACTTCTTAGGGCATGTAACCAAGAGTATAGAAACTGTGTACCCCCGAGGAACGCCAGGCTGTTTTTCAAAGCACTATTTTACATTCTTGCTGCAGCCTCAGGTTTGCATGTGGTAACCTCCCTCTCGACTGAAGAAAACTGTCACCAGGGAGACTGGAGGCTTTCCCTCCTCTGGCAACAGACTTGCAGGCCCCTGGGCAGCAGGTATACTAGGGGTGGCTGGGATTTGTTTTAACCAGGTATGATAAGACTCAAAATTGCAGACCCCTGTGAAAGAAGTCAAGGAGGCAGGCATGGTACATCATGCAGAGCTGCACCAGGAGGACCCAGGGTGGGTCAGAAGGCAGAGGTAGTGAAAGGGAATGTAGGCATGAGCCTTCACTGCGGTTTCTTCAGGCAGGAGTGGGCAAGGCAGAGTAAGCAGGCCCCAGGCTGCTGGTGTGAGTCATTTTAGCAGGCGCTGCACATGGGGCTGGTCCAGGGGTGGTCGTGACCTGGAGTGCCAGGGCCTGATGGGGAAGGGTGGTGCCTGAGCACTGGGCTGGCTGGGTTGCGTGTGAGAGGTTCATGTGAGTCCTTACAGTGTCTAGAATCTGATTCACCTTGGGAGGGACGATCCCCCAGGGTCAGCAAGGCAGATGTCAAAAGCATCAAAAACACAGAATGAGAAGATGTGATTAATACAGCTGTTGGTGGCAGAGCTACTGGCTGCCACAGTTGCGTGTTGCAGAGATGTGATTTGTGACTGTCTGCCCTGAGCCATGAAGCTTCATGTTGTCTCCTGAATCATCCAAGGTAGCATTGAGTCAATCACCGATAGTTTATTAGCATTTTTTGGACCAGGGACTCGTACTTGGTGTTGATAATGGCTTTTCTTCCGGGGAGACTGTGTGATTAAAGCAGAACCCATGAGACATCAGGCCAGACCTTGCTTCCCAGGAAAGTTCTGCCAGCCAGGCCAGGAGGCTGAGCCAAGGCTGCATTTCAGGATTTGTCGCATATTTATATATTTAGGTCATAATTGCCCGGGTGGGGTTTCACGTGGTGTGAAACTGGCAGGAAATGCCCGCCCTGAACCACATAGACGAGGAACGACTTATGATTTCTTTGTACACAGGTATTTATATATGAATGACATCTTGGGTGCTTTAGTCTACCATAACAATAGTAATCATTAGCCATTTATTAACATGATGTCTGACACATAAATGGCATCGCCATTGTGCAGGGACATAGTGAGGAATGAATAGCTATGAAAAATATGTGCAGTGTGGGATCACACAGCTAATGATTGGCATCTTCATTTACAAGCTTTCTTCATTACTCTTCTGCCAGAAAATCTTAATACATAGTGTCTTAATCCATTTTCTGCTGCTATAACAAAATACCTGAGCCTTGATAATTTATAAAGAGCAGAGATTTATTTATCTAATGGTTCTGGAGGCTGGGGACTCTTAAGATAATGGTGCTGGCATCTGGCGAGGGCCCCATGCTGTGCCAGGCCATGGCAGAAGGTGGAAGGGCAAGAGAGGATGGGGCAAGAGCCACTGGGGGTGGGGGGGCAGCTTGCTGTTATATCAAATCCACTCTCACCACAGCTGACCCACTTCAGTGAAAGCGAGATCAATCCATTCAGAAGCAGAGACCTGGTTTCCTGATCACCTCTTACTAGACTTCACCTCCCAATGCTATCGCACTGGGGATTGGATTTCCAACAGATGGCCAGGCGCCATGGCCACGCCTGTAATCCCAGCAACTCAGGAGGTCAGGAGGCTAAAGCAGGAGGGTCACAAGTTCCAGGCCAGCCTCAGCAACTCAGTGAGGCCCTGTTTCAAAATAAAAAAGGGTGGGGGATATGGCTCAGTGGTGAAGGGCCCCGGGTTCAATCCCCAGTACAAAAAAAAACACCTCAACACATAGACTTTGGAGGACACATGCAAATTATGCGTGTACCTATCTACACATTTGCAGCCATCCCAAATTTCTACCCAAATTAGCACTCACAATGCTGAGTCCACTCCCTGGGAAAGCTGCTGAGAGAAGCATGCTTCCCCCTGGGCCAGGATCCGCGCCTAGCCCCTTCACAGACTCCATGCTGCCTAGGACCAAGCCACAGCTGCCCTCCTCCAGTGACCTAGAGAAACCAGTGGGTGAGTGCACCGGGGACGCAGGAGTCAGGTGGGGAAGCCACCAGATTCCCTTCTAATCCTGCTTTTTGTCCTCACCTGGAGGGCCTTAGAAGCAGTTTTCACCTTGAGAGCACCTCCGCCACACAGCCCATCCTGACAGGACTGGACTTCAATGGCTGGCTGGCCAAACAGGAGGGAGAAACTCTGCCCAACGCATGAGCCATAGTCGAGCTTTTATTAAGAGTCACATCTTGTGACTTGATGGTGCACACTTGTAATCCCGAAGGCTCAGGAGGCTGAGGTAGGAGGGTTAAAATTCAAGGTCAGACTAAGGAAATTAGCAAGGCCCTAAGCAACTCAGCAAGACCCTGTCTCTAAATTAAAAAAAAAAAAAAGAATAAAAAGACTGGGGATGTGGCTCAGTAGTTAAGCAACCCTAGGTTCAATCCCTGGTACCTAATAATAGTAGTAATATTTTGAAAAAGAAAAAAATTGCATCTTTCTGAGCTGGGGTATAGCTCGGTAATAGAAACCCTGAGTTCAATCACTAGCAGTGAGAGAAAAAAAGCGCATTTTTCCATCAATAGCACACATTTCCACCAGTGAACACGTGCATCCTCTAATCCAGACCCTTACATTGATGGGCAGACGCGCGTGGACGACCCTCTGGAGCCCCGCCGCATGTTGGGTTGGTTTACAGTCACTGTGTAAAGAGCCGGAGCTTGGCGTCTTTGATGGCAGCACTCTGTTCAAGTGCTGAGAACAGGGCAGCTAAATCAGCATCGTGCCCCGCGGTCCCTGGGTCTTAGCGTCGCCCTGACATCAATCTCAGACTAATTATCCTTGCGTGTGTGTGTGTGTGTGTGTGTGGTGTCCGCATGAGCCACTCCAAGCGCAGGGCGCCTGCTTCACATGCATAGGTGATTTACAGCAAGCACAGCCCACCCTCAACTCTCCACCCCCTGCAAAGACCCAGGGGGGTGTAGGAGGGTTTTATTCTTTTTTACTGTTTTACTGAAGGAGAAAATACTATGCGGTTTCCACACTAAGCGGTCACAGTGGGGACCCATTTCCTGCGCTCCAGCCCCGCTGCTTCAGCCAATACAGCAAGGGAAGGCGCAGCTGTATTTTCTAGAAGGATTCCGCCAAGGCATAAAAACGGTGCAGACCAGCCTGGCACGGCGCCGGGTCCCGGAGCCCCGAGCGCCAGCATGGGGAACACTCATTCCAAGGGTGGCGACAGGCACGGGGCGCTCCCCGGCCACCCTGAGCTGTCTTTTTACAGCTCTTTCCCCAGGAAATGGAGCGAGAACGTCTTCTTAGATAATGAGCTGTTGACCTCTAAGATCCTGTCGGTGCTGCGGCCCCAGTCGGAGCGGGGCTTCCGGACCAGTGACCTCCGCTACCCTGCCCACTTCTTGAGCACCAACTCTGTCTTTGCCTCTGTCGCAGCCTCACTGAAGGAGCACCCGAGGAGCAGCCTTCTGTCTGATGGCAGCCCGGCCCCATCCAGGAATGTCGGCATGACGGTCTCTCAGAAAGGGGGTCCCCAGCCAATACCAAGCCCGGCCGGACCTGGGGCACGACTCGGGTAAGCCAGGTCCTCTCTGCCACCAGGTACAGAGGGAGGGATGGGGCAGTGGGTGGCACTCATCAGTGGCCTCTATGAAAGGAGGCACATTTCTTGTCTGTGTGAATCGGCAGGGTAGCCCCCCAGGCAAAATGATGCGTCCTGGGGTGGATTTGGCCACCATTGAGCCAGTTTGCTTAATGCCCTTGGCTTTCATTGTCAGGGCTTCTTACTGCTCAAGACGATGCCGATGCCGAGTCCCACAGCCCGGTCTCTGGGCCTTGCCCGGCTCTACAGGATGCTGAGGGCCCCGGGTGTGCTTTCAGCAGTGCTGGGGCAGAAAGTACTGCCGAAACCCAGTGCATTTGCGGCGATCTCTCCATGAGTTCGTGGAGAAGGGAGCCAATTATCTTTTTTCTCTATGAACAGACTGTCTTCCCGCCCTCCATTGTGAGGCTGTGTCCTTCTAAGTCCCATAGATAGAATTCCGTGGGCTCTGGTGGGCTCTGGTGGCCAGCAGCGGAAGCCCACAAATCACACCCCTCAGATGGACCTGGCCATTTAGGTCACTGTAATGGACAAAGTCCTGGTCGTAGGTCAGTAGTCTCCTATTTTAAAAAATGACCTGTGACCAAGTTAAAGGCCTCTACTGGAATCCGGAAAGTTCTCTGATCACATCTAATCAGGTGGAGTAGCAAACTGACTTGCCTCCATAGACTGGGGAGTGTGTGTTCAACTCAACCTTTTGAAATGGTGGTTGTGATTATTTCCACGTAGACCAGCCACAGGAGAGATGGATGAAGCTGACTCTGTGGTTCTAAAATTCAAGCAGGCAACTGATGACTCCCTAGCACTCACGTCCTCCAATACCGAGTCTGTTTTTGTAGAAGGTAAGTTGGTCCCAAGTCTTGAGGCTGCCACATGGTCCCCGTCCATACTGGGAGGTGCTGGCCAGGCTCTGCCAGGCTCTGGCCCCCCCAGCAGCCCCCGTCTTTCCCTCAGATCCCTACATTGCCTCGCTGAGAAGCGAAGTCGAATCGGACACCCACGAGTTTGAGGCCGAGTCCTGGAGCCTGGCTGTAGACTTGGCCTACGCCAAGAAGCAGAAGAAAGAGGTGGTGAAGAGACAGGATGTCCTGTACGGTAGGAGGCCAGCACCGCACCCAAGCCCATTGCTTCTCTTTCTTTGTATCTTTCTCCTTTTCTGCTCCCTAGTTCCATCTGGGCGTCTGGGCTCCATGGCCACATTACCCTTGCTGCATTACCCTAACTCTAACCCTAACCCTCTGCGCCCCCGCCCCCAGGGCAGCCCTGCCTGCCAGCCTGGGGAAGAGGTGGCCAGGAAGGGCTCTGTTAGCACAGGTCCCTGTAGTTGAGCCTGGCCAGATGCCCAGGGCTGACTCATTCTTGCCTTGTTGGTGGCTGTCTCCGTCCATTTGGGTACCTCTGACAGAATTCCATAGGCCAGGTGACTTGTAAACAACAGAAGTATATTGCTCACTGGGTTCACCTTGGTTCAGAGAGAGTCCAAGGTCAAGGCGCAGGCATGTTTGGTGTCTGGTGAGGTCCACTTCCTGGTTCGCAGGTGGAGCCTTCTCACTGTGTCTTCACGAGGTGGAAGGGGCAGGGGCTCCCTGCATCCCTTTCATAAGGGCACAAATCACATCCTCGGTGACTGCACTGTTGTGGTCTCACCACCTCCCCAAGGCACCACCTCTGAATAGCATCACTTTGGGGTAAGGTTTTAACATATGAAATGGGGGGGCACAGACATTCAGTCCTTTGCAGTTTGGTCTGATCACAGACACACAGAGGTGTGTTACACTACAGACCACAGACATGGAGTTCCTTAGAACAACCATCTTTTTTTTGGTACTGGGACTGAAACCCAGAGATGCTCCACCACTGAGCTGTATCCCCAGTCCTTTTTACTTTGAGACAAAGTCTCACTAAGTTGCTGAGGCTGGCCTCAGACTTGTGTTGCACCCACCTCAGCCTCCCAAGTTGACTGGGATCACAGGCGTGCACCACTGTGCCCAGCTCAGAATGACCGCCTTGCTGGAAACAGCCTTGGAAGGTCTTTGTGACTTCAGACATGCATCTCCTGGGTCCCCTCTTTATCCAGCTTCCTTTGGCCTGGGATTCCCACAGCGCTGGACGGGGAGGACGGGAGGCCTGGGCAATAAGAATGGCCACAGGCGCATACCTGCAGTCCTAGCTACTCGGGAGGCTAAGGCAGGGGCGGTCACCTGAGCCCAGAAATTCAAGGCCAGCCTAGAAAACATAGTGAGACCCTGACTTTAAAAGATAAATAAAAATTTTAAAAATAATAATAATTAAAAAATAAGGGGCTGGGGCTGGGGCTCAGCGGTAGAGCACTTGCCTAGCACGTGTGAGGCCCTGGGTTTGGTCCTCAGCACCACATAAAAATAAATAAATAAAATAAAGGTAGAAAAAAAATAAGCTTCATTTACTAAATAAATGTATAAAGATAAACAAGAAAGGCCACAAAGGCAGACTGAGGTGGAAAGCTTCCAGGCCAGCCCCACCCAGGCAGGCAGGCAGCACCCACCAGTGCCCAGCAGGACCGCGGAGCCCGCGTGGGTAAGCCCTGCTGGCCCTCTGCACCCCACAGAGCTGATGCAGACAGAGGCACACCACGTGCGGACCCTCAAGATCATGCTGAAGGTGTACTCCAAGGCCCTCCAGGAGGAGCTGCAGTTTGGCGGCCAGGCCATCAGCCGCCTTTTCCCCTGCGCAGACGACCTGCTGGAGATGCACAGCCACTTCCTCGCTCGGCTCAAGGAGCGGCGCCGCGAGGCTCTGGAGGAGGGCAGCGAGCAGAATTACATCATCCAGAAAATCGGGGACCTCTTGGTGCAGCAGGTGGGCACCGTTGTGACCCGGGTGGTGCCTCGTGAGTCCTCACCCGATCTCCATTCCTTCTATTAATAGAATGTAAAGGCTCTGGTTTATCTGCATGGCTACTCCAGAGCCTGTGGCTCACGTCCTAGGAGCACAGAGGCCAGAGTAGCCAACATGTCTGTCTGGACACTGTTCAGAGCTGTGCTCTTCTAGGCTGTTGTTTGGTTTTTGCTTTGAGATTCTAATCGCTGTTTCTGCTGGCTAGAAACATAATTCTGACCAGGGCCGTCCATAGCAGGCCTGCAGAGTCCAGGCAGAGGTGGAAAGCGGCAGCAACACCCGTCATCTGACCCCAGACTGCTTGCCCAGAGTGTCCCAGGTCAGGCAGTAGGAATTAGGAGCCAGCGGGAGGCTCCGTGGCAGGTACCTGCCTGGCACACACAGGCCCTGGGTTCCACCCCAGCTCTGTAAGACAAAACAAATGTAAAATTACAAGTAATTTTTTTTATTTTCCTAACATTCTTTTGACCTAAATTTCTTTTTCTTCTTGAATCTTTGCAAGCTTTGCAGCATCTGTGAGTAGCAAAGCCCTAAAGCACAAAGTTTTCTTGTTTTACTTCGATGGTACCTTATCATTAAGACACCCGAGGCAAGCACATCCCTGATGGTGGGTGTATTTATTAAAAGGTGAAATTGCAAGTCAATCCAGTGTTCACTTTAGCACAATCAGGTGGACTAGGTGAAAACATTCTGTGGCGGATTCCAGGTTTCATTTTGGTGACATTTCCATCCTCCTCCATATTAGTTTTCAGGTAAAAACGGGGAGAGAATGAAAGAAAAATATGGTGTGTTTTGCAGCGGCCACAATGAAGCCGTCAGTCATTACAAGTTATTGCTGCAACAAAACAAGAAATTTCAAAACTTGATCAAGGTAAAAAAAAAAGTTGTTTAAAATACTTCTTTGCTGTTGTTTTTTTCCACCAAACTGTAACATCTTGGATTCAGAAATAGTAAGTTGTTATAAAGCAGTGGTTTTCACAATCTGGTTTGGTTTGGGTGACACAAGCGTCCTTTCACAGGGCTGCCCCACCCTGGGAACTGCCCTGCAGAGCCACCCCATTCTGCGTGCAGAGGCTCCAGCAAGGCACAAGTTTCTCTGAACTCCATCTTCTCCCCGCCTGCCCCCCAAGGCCCATGGGATTCCCTTGACTGAGCGTGTACAGCCACTTGAGCTCAGAACCAGACCCCTCCACCCAGCCACAGTGCATGGAGTCAAGCTCTCCCCACCTCCCGTGTCCCAGAAACGGCACTTGGGAGCTGAGTGCCTTGATGCACGCCTATGATCCCAGTGGCTCGGGAGGCTGAGGCAGGAGAATCGCAAGTTCAAAGCCAGCCTCAGCAACTTAGCGAGACCCTGTCTCAAAATAAAAAGGGCTGGGGATGTGGCTCAGTGGTTAAGCACTCCTAAGTTCAATCCCCAGTATCCAAGAGGGACAAGAAAGAAAGTCAGTCAGAAACGGCATTTGGGTCAGGCCACGCAGTTCATCCACAGTTGCCTTTGCAGCAGCCCCAGCTCCCTCGGTTCCAAGCTCCAGAACAGCTCTACAGTCTGTTCCCTGGGCCCTCGGGACTTTGTTCTGAAGTGGCATTCAACAACTAATGGGCTGAAATTAAGAATGACCTGCGTTTAAGTTTTGTTCCAGGCTTGGTGACTCACGTTCATAGTCCCTGCTCCTCAGTAGACTGAGGCTGGAGAATCACTTGAGCCCAAGAGTTCAAGGCCAGCCTGGGCGACATAGCCAGAAACCCCATCTCAAAAGAAAAAAACAAAACAAAAAATCTGCTCCATGATCCCCTCAGTAGACGGACTTGAAAGGGAAAGAGCAATTTCAGACCAAAATTCACTCAGCAATGGCTGTCAAATGGCCCATCTGACAGCATGAACCATCTAGAAAGAGGGCAGAGGGTGGCAGTGGAGACAGTTCCCATGAAACCTGCAACCACAGATTGTCACAGTCCCAGAAGGACACTCGGGTGCTGTGGAAGTGGCTCTTTGCTATTGCCGGCATTCCTGAAATACACAAGAGTAGTGGCGCTAATCCACGGAATGCGCGGAATGCTCCATGAGCACAGGAGACTGCTCTCCACCCCCCAGGAAGTGAGACGGTCAGCCAGAGGTGTGTGTGCATCAGCAGCCACCAGGGAGCCCGCTCTACCACAAAGGCACATGCCCAGGCTAGTTCCAGGAGCTTCTGGAATGACAGCCGAGCATGCATGTCTGACGTGCACGTGTACATGTGTGTGTGCACGTGGTGAGCAGCTCAACAGGTGATCCCCACAACTGCCCCATGACTGGACCTCATTTTCTCTTTAACTGGTCTTTCAAGGCGAGGTCACCTTTGCTTGTGTGGCCTTCTGTATATCCAGTATGTGCTTTCAGATAGCCAGTGTGTGTCCCCAACAAAGCAGCAGGGAGAAGATCCCAGCAAGCTGGCAAGGAAGCCCTGGAGGCTGGTGGGCACAGTCAGCGGGAGAGGAGGTGTTAATGCGGAGCCGTTCTACTTTTTCTTTCCTAGAAAGTTGGCAGCTTCTCCATCGTGAGGCGGCTTGGTGTGCAGGAGTGCATCCTTCTGGTCACTCAGCGCATCACCAAATACCCTGTGCTGGTGGAGCGTATCATCCAGAACACAGAAGGTAGAGAAGCACACGCCATGCCCAGGGGCCACAGCAGGGCAGGGGTCCCTGTCCACCTGATGAAGGTTTTACCAGTGGATTGGACAAATTCCCCTAGCAATCCATTATGCTGGGTGTTGGGGTTTCCCACCTGAAGAGGGTGGGGCAGTCATCACCATGAAGGCAGGGGCTGGGTCTCCTCCGCTCGTCACCACCCCTAGTGTAAACTGGGCCACAGAAGGCGCTGGGTCAGTATCTGTGACATTTATAAATGGATTGAGACCAGGTCATTCCTGGGTCGTCCAGACATGCCTGGAGATGACCTCTGTGTCACATGACCAGGGTCAAGAAAGTGAGGAGCCTGGAGCTGTAGGGGACAGAGGAGAAAAGGCTGATAGCCAGCCCAGGAGTTCTCGGGGCCAGGCAGTGTTGATCATCGGGTTTGGTCTGTGGGAGAATGAGAAAGTTCCCCTGCCACATCCTCGGAGCAGGATGGGCCAGCTCCAGGTTACAGCAGGAGGTGGAGGGAATCTTTTATGATGAGCTGGAGGACTTGGGAGGAGTTTGTGTGCCAAGGAGAGACCAGAGAGCCATGCAGGGCAGTTGTTGTCACTTAAATTGCGCCTTAGCTTCCACATTTGACGGAAGCTCTACCTGAGTAAAAATGAAACTCTGGGCTTTGGCATTTATTTTGGAGACCCATTTCTACCTCAGAAACTACAGATGGGAGGTAATTCTTGAGGGTTCCTCTGACCCAGGGAATGCACCTCACAGATCCCATCTACTTAGTGAAGCCATTTCCATTATGTTCTTGAGCACGGAAAAAGAAAGGGCTAACTCTGCTGTGTGTGGCAGCTGGCACTGAGGACCATGAAGACCTGACTCAAGCCCTGAACCTCATCAAAGACATCATCTCCCAAGTGGATGCCAAGGTCAGTGAGTGCGAGAAGGGCCAGCGCCTCAGGGAGATCGCAGGGAAGATGGACCTCAAGTCCTCCAGCAAACTCAAGAATGGACTCACCTTCCGCAAGGAGGACATGCTACAGCGGCAGCTGCATCTGGAGGGCACGCTGTGCTGGAAGACCACTTCAGGGCGCTTGAAAGGTAAGCTCTGTCCCTGGCCACCTCTAGTGGGGGCCGTGTTGGACTGGGGGCACTGTCTTGGAGTGGCAGGTACTATCTTGGATGGGTGAGTGCCCTCTTGAATTGGTGGGCACCCTCTTTGAGTGATGAGCACTGTCTTGGATTGTGAGTGCCATCTTGAACTGGCACCAAGCCAAGTGGTACAAATATATCTCACAAGATGTGACCCTTGCCCTCCTGGGGCTTCAGCATGTGGGACAGAAAAAGAAACAAGTAAACATTTACCAAAAAAAAAAAAAAAAAAAGTGGTTAAAAATGTGGTAAATGCTTTGAAAGAACCAGCAGACTGCAATGAGAGAGAATTGGATGAAAAAGGATTTCTGACTTTGCTAGTGGTATCAAAAATGGCTCTCCCAGAAGGTAATATTTGTGCTTCCTGCAATGTGAATATACCTCAATTCAGGATTTGCACTTACATGCAAAAGCCTCATGATGCAAGATGTTCATCCAGAGACAAGGCACCAAGCAGGACTGGAGCATGAGGGGACTGTGACAAGCCCTCCCTAGTCACTGCAGTAGGGGGCAGGATGGGAGCACCAGCAGCTCATGGTTGGGTGACCTGGGCAGGGAGCATGACAAGATTCGTCCACACTGAGCCATCAGCTAGAGCAGCTCCGAGGCCAGGCCCGGCCATGACAGCCACCTGTCATGATGGCCTGGTGGTGAGGCTGGAGTCCTAACTTCAGCTCTGAACCTTGTCAGCTGGAGCCTGAAGGGATACCTAAGAGGGGACTCCAGCATTCACTGGTGATAAATATGGAAACCCAGAGTGATGGGAGGGTGTGAGTTAGACAGGAAACTTCTAGGCTCAAGTAGAAAGGTCTGAAGCAAGAGACCTCCTGGAGAGACAGTGACTGTCGGGCTTCCCAGTGAGACCCGTGGCTGCACAACTTCTAAGACGCCCCCTCTGTGCTCTCTGCAGATGTCCTTGCTGTCCTCTTGACCGACGTGCTTCTACTGCTGCAAGAAAAGGACCAAAAATATGTCTTTGCCTCTGTGGTGCGTACCCAGTGTCTCCAGACAAGGTCCTGTCTGTGGGGACCTGGTGGGTGTGGCCATGAAGGAGGGGGCAGGGGACAAGGAGAGGAAGTGCCACTAGAACGCTGCACTGTGGCACCCCAGGCCCTCCCTTTCCTGACGAGGCCCAGGCTCCCATCCCCACAGGCTCTCCACCTCCATTCTGTTTCCACGCACGTTCTTCCTCTGCCAAGGACTTGGATACTCACAAGCGCCAGCATCGTGGCCGGGGGAGCCTTCCCTCTTCCCGGGGACGCACAGGCCCTATTATTAGACGCAAGTCCAGGCAGCCACTGCTCTGTGAGCTGTGACCATGTTGACCCCAGGACACCCTTGTCAGGGGAGCAGCACCCGCCCGGCTGTGTCACCCAGAACCCTACCCCAACACTGGCCCAGGGCACCCTGGCATCTCACAGCACAGACCCAGCTGCAGGGCAAGGAGGTCAGGCCCAGCCTTCCTGGGGCTCCAGCCCCTAAAAAGTGTAAGGAAGCCATTGGCTTCCAGGTCACCTGGAGAAGAAGGCCCTCACCACTGAACCGTAGGATCACATAGCTTCCCCCAAAATGTGAAGTGGCTTCTCAGGGGCTGGGGCCATGGTTCAGCAAAGCGCTTGCCTGGCATGTGCACGGCCCTGTGTTCCATCTCAGTGGCTTCTCAAGAAGTCCCCCACTGCCACCCGGCCCTGTTCTTCCCATCTCAACCCCCTGCAACTGTGTCAGGCTGTTTTGTCAAACAGATGTCCTGCCTTGACCCATGCACCTCAGAGCCTGCCATGCCCGCACAGGAGGGTGACGTGACAGGACAGTCCGCTGCCCTGGGTGGCTCTGTGTGCCCACCTTGCATCACAGGACAGCCCTGCTGGGGATTGGTGTCCTGCCTTGCCCTGCAGTTAGCCAAATGGGCCACTGTGTATCCCAAGAGATGGGGCTGTGGTCAGGGGTGAGACATAAAGTAGCATGTCTTGCACCCCAAAATTATATGGGCAGGGAGACCACATTCATCTGGGTGTAACTTTGTTTCAGAAACCTTTACAGTTCAGAAAAGCACAAAAAAGGAAATCAGAATAATCCTGTCACCCAGGGACATCGACTTGACTGTCTTTACCGTAGGGGGTCTGCTCAGCCGAGCTTTATGCCTTGTAGGTGTTACAGGCGTCCACAGTGACCACTCCATGTTGCCACTGCACTCTGGAAACCACAGTAGAGAGTATGTACTAAGCCACATGCCAATGAAACCCTTTTACACAGTCAGGCAGTGGGCCAGATTGGCCATGGACTGGAGCTTGCTGACAGCTGGGTCTCCAGTGATAAATGCATGTATTTTAACACTGCATCTTCAAGCTTCATATTCTCTTACAACCTGCTTTTTTATTCCTGCTCAATACACTTTGAAGCTCCCTCCTCAGTGCATCTCTTACCCTGTGGCATGGTGTTTAGTGGCTGCCTGCTCCTTCTATTTTATAGCCATCCTACATTCTATTGACTCTTTCCAAACAACTTAGATAAACGGTCTTTTATTAATCTATTCTCCCGTTGGTGAATATGTGTGTGGTTTTGCAGTTTGGAAATTGGCAGGTGCTGGAGCTGCTTTGAATATCTGTTTTGGCTGTGTAGTCACATGCTCCTGACCATATCTTTTTTGGGGGAAGGGGGTGTTTCCTGGTTATTAAACCAGGGGTGCCATACAGCTGAGCTCCATCCTGGGTTTTTTTGTTTGTTTGGTTTTGTTGTTGTTGTTGTTGTTTTTAATTTAAGACAGTGTCTCACTAAGTTGCCCAGGCTGGTCTCAAACTTGCTATCCTCTGCCTCAGCCTTCTATATAACTGGGATTACAGGCAGGTGCTGTCCTGACCATATCTTACAGGTTATGAAGAGAACATTCTCATGGGTGGAAAGCCAAGACTTGGGGAAATTAATAGTTTTGGTCCAAATGGGCTGAGATCCCCCCAGGGAACATTCAGACCCCCAATAAGGGATGGTTGGACATGTTTGCTGTGGCCACTGTGGATGTGCCTGTACAGACCAAGTGACTCACACTGGAGAAATTTAATGTCTCACCTTTCTGGAAGCTGGAAGTACAAGATGAGGGTGTGCACAGGATTGCTTCCTTCTGAAACTCTCTCCTTGGCAGTACATGCCGTCTTTTCCGTGTTCTCACAGGGTCATCCCTCTATATATGTCTGCGTCTTCATCTCTTCTACTGAAGACACAGTCATGTTGAAGTGGGATCCACGTTACTTGATAAATCTCTGTCTCCAAATACTGCCACGTTCTGTCATGTCCTAGACTTTAGGACTTCAGCAGGTCTGGGGACGCAGCTGAGCTCATGGCACAGTTGAGAGGTGCTTTTTACTGGTCTACTACAGCATTCTCTCTCACCAGTGCCCAACGGGCTGGGAGGACTGGTTGGCTTTGGGTGGCCTGTGATACAAAAAACAGATGAGGAGTTTTTGTTGTTGTTCTATACTGTGTAATGTTGTATCCTGAGTTTTGTAGGATGTACCTGCATTACTAATTATTTTTAAGTTGTTACTGTGCCTATAGTTCCAGCTACTCCAGAGGCTGAGGCAGGAGGGTTACTAGAGGCCAGGAGTTCAGGACCAGCCTGGGCAACAACATAGCAAGATAAAACTGACACATTAAAAGGATGTTAGGATATCATTGCAGTAGTGTTTTTCCCCATTTGGCAAAATATCTGTGTTTCAAGTTGTTTGCAAGGAAACAGGGCACATGGCTTCCCTCTGTGTCCCCCGCCCCCAACCCTGAGACTCTGGTCCTGCTTTGGATGCAGCAGGTAAAATGTGACCTCCCCTCCACCTATGCAGGACTCGAAGCCACCTGTCATCTCTCTGCAAAAGCTCATCGTGAGGGAAGTGGCCAACGAAGAGAAGGCCATGTTTCTGATCAGTGCCTCCCTGCAAGGACCTGAGATGTATGAGATCTACACCAGCTCCAAAGAGGACAGGAACTCCTGGATGACCCACATCCGCCAAGCCGTGGAGAGGTGAGAGAGCCTAGGGTCTCCCTCCCCGACACGGGTGCATGTTCCAGACTTCATGCCCTTGGCTTTGAGGGAGCCTCGGCCAATCAGCAATGGCCTGTGCAGTCCCTGAGAAACCCCTTGTTTTCCTCTCTCCCATCCCTCACAGATGTTCTGTCCATCTGCTTCTCAAAAATGGCACCATCTCAAAGATGGTGCCATTCCAGCTCCTTTCAACAACAGTCCAACCTCTCAGGTGCTAAAAAGGCCTGGATGTGTCTGGCCAGCAGGGCTGAAGGGCCAGCAGATCTCACCTGGGCCTTTTGCACTCATGGGCCACTTGGCCAAACACAGTGGGCTTTGCCTGCACACAAGTCTGAGACCAGACCGTTGCCATAGGTTGTGGCTTCCTGTCCTTCTTCCACCCATGCCACGCCCTCCTCTTTCCACCCGCCTGAGTCCAGGTCTGCCTGGTAGATGGGCAGAGGGAGGCAGTTCAGCCGGCTCCCTGCTCCCCCTCCAGGTGCCTGGAGGCTTCTCACCACCTTAGCCTATTCCAAGCTCCATCGATGCTCAGAAGCTTCAGCCTCCCATGCCTAGCGGTCCCCAGCAAGCACTGTCCGGTGGCAGCCTCTTCGAGGGTACAGCTGGACACTTGGACCCCTTGCCTGGTTACACTCTTGACACTTAAAGACCACATGCATTCCCTCAGTTCCCTGAGGGAAAACCACTCCCAAAATCAGAGATACTCTTAGCAGCTGAATCTACGGAGCCAGCGTAGTGTCGGAGGCCCACCAGTTAATTCCATATGTCCCCTCTCTCTGTAGCTGTCCCGATGAGGAAGAGGGACCCTTCAGTGAGGTCGAGGAGGAGCGGAAGGTCGCTGAGGCCCGCGCCATGAGACTCCGGGACTTTCAAGGTAAGGGGTGTCAGCGTTATGGGCATGTCCCCTGTGTGGCCATGGCTCTGCAAAGCTCTCCTGAGACAGCCAGCCCTGAGCCCCCAGCCCTCAGAGGCGTCCCTGTTCCGTTCTGTGGAGACTGGATGTGGAGGATCTCACCACCATGCGGCCAGCCACTTTGCTGTGAGCCACTCACGCCCTGCAGCTCTGCGAGGGCTTCGGAAGGGGACTGCTGACGAGGCAGTGATGTCCCAGAGGCTTCCTGGTCTCTGCAGGGGTGTGGGAAGGGAGAGAGCTGACCTCGGGGCCTCCAGTCCCTTCCAGACCCACCTGTCTGCATTCAGGAAGGAGGCGCAAGCACGCAGAGGTCAGCAATCAGTTTTGGAGCATTTTCTTCACCCTGAAAACAAAACACCCCTTAGCAGTCACTTCAGCCCCTGGCCACCACCAGTCCCCATCCCATCTCTGTGGACACGCCCATTCTGGGCATCTCGGGTCAGTGGAGCCAGGTCCTTGTGCACCTGGCTTCCCTCACCAAGCACAGTGTCTTCAAGCCCGATCCACATCATGACATGTCAAAATCTCACTCCTTGGTGGCTGAGGGGTGCTCCAGGGTGGATGGAGCACACGGTGTTGGTGCGTCCTCCTTCCTGTGCGGCAGATTCTATGAGAGGTGGATGTGGTGACTGCCCGAGCAACTCCTAGTGGGCCCGACAAGTCCCTTCCTCCTTCCCACTCACTGTGTTATTTATTTCTTTGATTAAGTGATAGTTAGGCGATAAGTACATGGAATTTAATAGTCTATATTTTATTTCTTTTGTGGGGAGAGGTGCTTTAAGGACTTTATTTATTTTAATAAATTTGAGAGCATTAATTAATGTCCAAAAGAAAGACGGAAAGAATCCCGTTGAACCCTAGAAGGCCTGACACCTAAGGTAGTGCGGATCTCCTCGGCTGACGCTGGGGTCCCATCCCAGTAATGTTGTGCTTACACTCAAGCTGCCAAACATCCCAGCCCGGCCACAGGGCCACTGTCACGTCTTAGTTGTTTCTTCTTGGGCCCAGGAACTGCTGCTCACAGCCACTGCCCCTGCTCAGCTCACAAGAGACTAGCCCAGGAAAGGACTAGAAATCAAAGCTCAGACACATTTCCACGGAACACATAGCGCTTTCGCATCATTATTAAATCAAACTACTACAAGTTGAACCATTGTGAGTGGAGGACCATCTGCATTAATTTCGTCTCATGCTAATTGCTATTTTCTGCTGGGTGGTAACTCGAGTTTATCCCGCAGGGAAGCACCTCCGGGAGGGCTCTGTCCTCCTGCTTGGCCCCAGATCCGAGGGCACAGAATCCAGGGGAGGCTGACCCAGCTGACCACCTCCTCCATGTCCCTCCACAGAACGACTGAGCCAGAAAGACCAACTGATCGCCCAGAGCCTCCTGGAGAAGCAGCAGATCTACCTGGAGATGGCAGAGATGAGCGGACTTGAGGACACAGCCCAGTCGCGTGGACTCTTCCGCGGAGGCGATGCCTCGGAGACCCTGCAGGGGGAGCAGATCCTCAAATCGGCCATGAATGAGAGTCAGTCAGCACCCCACCCTGCCGAGCGTGTGGGGAGGGGGTGTGCTCTGGGATCCCAGGCCAGGCCTGAGGCTGTCTCGCCTGACCGAGGTCCCAGTGCCTCACTGCAGACACACACTTTCTCTTTCTGTTGACACACACTCTCCAGGTGCCCCCACCAGCCCTGGGGATCTGAAGTTGACTGATACAGGCCCCCATTCTTTCTGAGATATCCCCAGGAAAACGCACATGCACACTTGGCAGGCCGTTTCAGAGCCCCCCCCCCCCCCCCCGAGCCATGGCAGAGGCCGCAGGCCAGTGAGGTGCTCCCTGTCTCCACGCATGCTCTGCCCTTCTGCCAGCCGTGGCCAGGCCTGCTGCTCGAGCCCTCAGAGCACAGCAGAGCTCCAAACACGCCCAGCGTGGCCGCTGCACCCTCCACTGGCCCAGCATCGTGCCACTCTTTCAACAGCAAACAAGACAGGCACAGCCCCATCCTTGGTAGCTTTCCTGCCAGAAAAGAACAGAAACCAGATGGCATGGGGGTGGTCAGTCTTTCTCCCTCCAGCTGCACCCACACTGTCCTTCCACCCATTTCTCCAGTGGCCATTGTCCTTGGCCCCTGAGGACACTTGCATATTCTGCACCTGGGCCTAGAATGTTCTCTCCACCTCTTCAGCTGGCCAGACTTTTGGTCCTAGAGGGCTATATATGAAAAGCCCCTCCCCCCAAGAGTTACTCCCTGTGTGGCCCTCATGACACAGCATGGCCATGTTCACATTTGCACTAGGCCTGGGTGGAGGCTGGTCACTGCAGCCAGCGCCTGGGTGGGCTAGTAGGAGGGACACGAGAAGCCAGCACAGCCCTCCCATGTGGCCACTCCTGGCCTTGGCCTCTCACTTAGACAGGGATTGGCAGGTCCTGGTCGCAGTACCAGAAGTGAGGGAGTGCAGGAAGCACCGGGAGTGCAGGAAATCGGGGCTGGAAGCTGGAATTCCACATCAGACAGTGGGTGGGGTGACCAGCACCCAGTGAGCTCCCCGGGGTCTCAGCTGCTCCCTGACACCCCCAGCGTGCCTCCACAGTGTGGCTCCTTCCTCCTGTCTCCTTCCACAGTCGAGGGTATCCAGAACCTGATCTGCAGGCACCTGGGCTGCAGCAGTGGCCTAGCGGAAGAGGGAGGTGGCTCCACAGGCCTGCCTCGGAGGGCTGAGACCTTCGGAGGGTATGACAGCATGGGCAGCCCTAGCAAGAGTAAGTAGTGTCTCCTGCCTCGCCGCCCACCTTAGGGGCTCGATAGCAACAGGTCTGAGTGTCCTCTGAGGTTGCATTGTTTCTCAGAACATTCAGCACCCAGTCCGGCCCAGCCATTTCTGCTGGTCTCTGTGCTACAGAAGCCCTTGCCTTGGCTCACACCTGTCGTCCCAGCAACTCAGGAGGCTAAGGCAGGAGGATTGAATTTCAAGGCCAGCCTGCTGAACTTAGCAAGATTGACCTTGTTCCAGAATAAACAATAAAATAAAAAAGCTGGGAATGTGGCTAAGTGGTAGAGCATCTGCCCATCACTGGCAAGGCCCTGAGTTCAAATCTCAGTACTGGGGTGGGGGAAGCCACCATGGATTTCCTACCTGGGCAGGGCTGAGGGCAGAGGAGGGCTCCAGATCCCATGGGATCCACAGCACCCTCACAGGCCTGGCCTGGGCTTCCCAGATGGCAGTTTTAAGAAGAAAGTCTGCAGCTGGCGAGGGCCTGCCAGCAGCCCAGACTCGAAGCTTGGAAACGGAGATGTCCCTGGGGGCTGCGAGGAGTCACCGCAGGCGGTACGTGACCTCCGGGGATGTTGTTCACTCCATACAGAATCAGTCCAAGTCATTGTAGTTGTCATCAACTAGTGTGACTAACTTCTGTTTGGATTGTCTGTTTCTCTGTCATGGTGACTTCCCCAAGTGCTGCCGTTTTATGGCAAATTAAGGTTCTCTGACCCGATTGCCATGCAGCCGGGTAATTTTGTCCTGCAGCCCCCTGGGAAAGGCAGCCAGTGTTCCAGGAGGGAGGCGGGGAGGGGACAGGCTCAGGGCATAGCCATGGCTTCATCAGCAGGCCGGAAACCCCATACAGGAGCCTCAGGCTGTCGGCACAGGTATAGTAACACCTACCAGATGTGCCCACGTCTCGCCGGCTCTTCCCTCTCCTTTGACTCAGAAGGCCCGTCACGTGTCTGTCCTTGCCAAGGTTTGGGCTCAGAGGCCACAGCCAGCTGCCTCTGGCCAGCTGAGGCTTGGACTCACCTCCATGCCTGGAGCTGGTGTACAGGCTTCACATGTGGGCCTGCACTCCCATGGATGGTGATGGCTGCCTCCCACCTCCAAAGCTGCCCTGTACCTTCCTTCTGCAGACACCCGGATGGGCATGTCAGGTAGCCAGCAAGACTGCCCCCCACAGAGGCCCGGCCCTGGGTGCTTTCTGTTGCCCATGCCAAGGGAATGTCTTGCTGATCTCAGGCATACTGCACCTCCTTGAATCAGTCCTAGACGCTCTGGGTTTGATGCTATGGTCTTTGCAGGTAGAGATGCCAGGTTCAGAGACTAGCCCCCGGCTGCCCACTTTCCTGGAGTCAGAGGTAGGTGGCATCTGGTCCACCTTGGAGATGGCACGCAGGCCCCATGTGCTACTGGACAGAGCCCAGAATCTGCCTTTCTCTCCACAGCTTGTCCAGCGGATCCAGACTTTGTCACAGCTGCTCCTCAGCCTCCAGGTACCAGGGTGTCAGGGAGGGACCAGCCACACTTGCCCTTTCCTAGTTATCTGGGTCTGGGCAAGGACGTGGCTCTCACAGGCCCGGCTCTGACCCTGTGCACAGGCGGTCATCGCCCAGCAGGACAGCTACGTGGAGATGCAGCGGGCAGCCATCCAGGAGCGGGAGAAGCAGTTTCGACTGCAGTCGACGCGCGGGAACCTGCTGCTGGAGCAGGAGCGGCAGCGCAACTTTGAGAAGCAGCGAGAGGAGCGTGCGGACGTGGAGAAGCTACAGACTCAGCTGCGGCAGGAGCAGCAGCGCTGGGAGCGAGAGTGCGCGCGCCAACGGCAGGAGTTGGAGCGCGCAGGCGCACGGTTGCAGGCGCGGGAAGGCGAAGCGCAGCAGCTGCGTGATCAGCTGGACCAGGAACGTGCAGAGCTGGAGCGACAGCGCCGGGCCTACCAGCAAGACCTAGAGCGGCTGCGCGAGGGCATGCGCGCGGTGGAGCGGGAGCGCGAGCGCCTGGAGCAGCAGCGCAGGCTCAAGAAGCAGCACACAGTGCCAGGGGCACTGCCGCCCGGGGCGCTGGTGGAGGTGAGCCAGAGCCTCGCGAGACTGCGCCTTTCGGGGTATCAGGTTGGCACACGCATTTGCAGGTGTGAGGCCGAATGTCAGAAAACACGAGCATCTGGTGTAGGAGTGAATGTGTGGGCTGGCGTGCGGCTCGGTGGTAGAGGGCCGGCCAACCACGCGTGGAGCCCTGCATCCTACCTGGGGCACCGCCGATGAAGATCAGAGTGATGGTGTGTGAGCGTGGGGCACTCCTGTAGGCCCAGCACTGGGGAGGCCAAGGCAGAAGACTCAGTTGAGCCCCGGAGGACCGACCCACGTGGGGGACACAGCCACATCCTCTTGAAAAAATATTTGTCAAGAGTGAATGTACCAGCGTGTGTGTGTGCACATGTGAGAGAGCTGTAAAAGTGTATCTGCACACTGCAGCAGAAAACACAGTAAATGTCGATGTCTTCTTTTTTTCAAGAAGTAGTTTGTCTAAGCAGCATAAATGTGAATGTGACTTTCGTGTGTGAGAGAACATATGTGTGGCTGAGTGTGAACATGAGTGTGCACAGCTTCAGGTTGAGCCCAGCTCTGCATGCAGAACAGACATCCAGGGGCCATCTGGACCAGGTGCAGGGATCAGCCCTCTCAGCCCCGTCTCCCCATGGCCTGGCTCTCCCTGTCCCCCCAGAGCCTCCCCGCCCCCCAGGGCCTCAGCCTGGCAGGCCCCTTGTGCACATCAGGGAGAGCGGCCCCGTGGGAGAACTCCCTGCAGATTCAGCAGCACTGGGACATATCTTCTGTCACTCTTTCAGGCCCAGCCACCAAGCCACCCTCCTAGTTTCAATGGGGAGGGGCAAGAGGGACCCCTGGCCTTGGCTAAAACACCTGGGACCCGGGCGAACCTGCTGCTATCCGGTGCTGGGCCCGAGTATGTGGAGCGCCCTGAGGTGGCCCGCCGGGACAGTGCCCCAGCTGAGAGCCGGCCAACCAAGAGTGACGTGCCCATCCAGCTGCTGAGCACCACCAACCAGATTCAGAGGCAGGCGGCAGTGCAGCAGCAGATCCCCACCAAGCTGGCCGCCTCCACCAAGGGCAGCAAGGACAAGGGCAGCAAAAGCAGGGGCTCCCAGCGCTCGGAGAGCTCAGGTGAGCCCAGCCCCGGCTCCAAAGCCTGGGCCTGCAAGAAGTGGGCTGTCTCCAGTGCCCCTTCCCCCTGGATCCGGAGATCCAGCCATGGGCAACTTGTGAGTCTACAGGGGCTCAATGGGACCAAAAGCGGGATACTAGTGCCACCTAGAGAGGGTGCCAGAGGAAAACCAGAAGGTGCAGCTGTGACATGCCAGGGCCTCCCCTCCAAATGGAGGCCTTTTTCTCAAGCAGAATTGAAATGGCAAGCCAGGCCCCACGTGCTTTCCCACAACAGGCCTCAAACAGTAGGATGGGGGACAGGGGAGCTTCCGAGGGTCACAGGCCAGAAGTCACCTGCTCACTTAGGACCATGTAGCTAGAGCACAGGACAAGTGCCAAGGGCTCTACACAGTGTCCTGGGTTAACAGAGGGGGACGCTGCAGCCCAGAGAGGCACAGTCCCTTACCCTCGGGCACCTGCAATGAGTACCACCCAAGAGTGAGCCGAGGAGCTCCTCCGTGCCTGCCCACTGGGAAGTGTTCCCCAGGTCACAACTAGGGATGTTCTGGGACATTCTTAAGGAGCAGAGCCTGTGTCCTGTGACCTCTGGGGCATGAGGGTCACTGGAAAGGGATACTTCCCCGAAAGCAGTGCCTTCCCTTTGTCCAGAGGTTGGCTGACTCTGAGGGTCTGCCCTGGGCACTGTCAGGTGGGGAAGGTCCGGCAGTCCTCCCAGTCCTGAGGTGGCCTGCCGCAGGGCCCAAGCTCCTTCCCTCTTCCAGCTTCATTCGACCTCAAGCAGCAGCTGCTTCTCAACAAGTTGATGGGCAAGGACGAGACCACCTCTCGGAATCGCCGGTCACTGAGCCCCATCCTGCTCAGCAGCCACAGCTCCACGCCTGCCACAGGTGAGCCCAGCACCCCAGCAGCGGGGCAGTCTGCAGCACCTGGTGACATCTGACACCCCGGTCCCCTCTCTCTTCCAGACTCCTACGTCCCAGCCCCGAGTCCAGCCCCAACCGACATCCCTCCTGAGGCCTTCTTCATCAAGGCTGGGGGCACATCCTTCCCACCTGTGCCCCCGGCTCCCTCCCCACTACAGGCCACCAGGGAGGAAGCCAGCAAGGAAGACGTCATCTTCTTCTGAGGGGCTGTGGCTCCAGGGGCAGGCCCTCTGGCCTGTCTACCCTGAGTCTCTGGGGACCCCATGGGGTGACTGCCTGCCCAGCTATTGTCCCCTCCTGCCCAGGCACACCCCTGATGTCCATCTGGCCTGGGTCAGCCTGTTGGTGCTTCGGGTCTCATGGCTCTGTCTGTAGGATTAGTGGTAATGCCTGGGTAATTTCATAAACCTCTTTTTTTTATTCATACATAAAAGAAAGTTTTTAATGGAAAGTTGAACCAACTAAAGCAAGGAGATGTTTTAAGCCGTAGTACCCCTTTGGGTAGGAGAAAGGTCAATTTCCAGTTGTTTGCCCAGGCAGTGAGGAGTGCCAGGGGGGCCAAGGAGCTGAAAGACAGGCCAGGCCTGGGTCTGAGGAGCCGCTGGCCAGGCCAGGCTCCACAGGTACCAGGAAGCACTGAGTGAGTCAAGTCGTGAGGGCACCAGGAGGGGCCATGGCATACATGTGTGTCTGCAAGTCAGGCAGAATCACCCTCCAAAGCAGCCCCTTCCACGCTGGCCACCAAGAACCTCTGTCGGCAGGGCAGGCAGGGCCCACCCAGGAGTAGCGAGGACCAGAGGGAAGGGGCGGCCATGGCACTTCAGGCATGTTTTGTGGGTTCGGAAGCTCGTCCTGAAGGGGCCGACCAGGCATGGCTCCTTTGACAGAGGTTTCCCAACCGCTGGTCTGCTTCTCGAGGGCACCTGCCGTCCCCACCGCTCAGCCCGTCCAGGGCACCAAGCCTCGGGCTCAGCCAGGGCTGGCACAGGCACCCCAGCAGAGGTCCTCGGTCTCCTGTGAAATGGGCAGATTTTCCTGGGGCTGCTAGGAAGAAGCCCCTGGGCTGTGTCCGGCCAGAACGGGAGGGAATGCCTGGAGAGGCTGCCAGCAGGTGCACAGGGGGCCATCTTGGGGCGCCTCACTTGCACTGGCCTGTTGCGGCCTGGAGTCAGCTTCCCCTAGAGGACTTGGGGCAGGGCTTTAGGGGTGGCCCAGATGGTCAGATCCACATTCCAGCTGCAGCCAAAGCAGAGCCTGGCTGCCCAGGGCAGGAGGGGCGCGTTGCCAGCCTTGCCCCACAGCCCAGGCTTCCCCACGTTGGAAGTGTTGACAGCAGGGCCAGGTCCTGGGCTGGTCATTCTTGTTCCCAGAAAGGGGCACTTGGGCCCAAGCCAGGGCCAGTGTCCTGGGGAGCCTCAGTGGGGAACTCAGCCCTTCTCCTGCTATGTCAGCAGAGTCACCCCCTATGATGCCCAACATAGTAAGCTGGGGGATGTTTCCACCACTGAGGGACAAGTGGGCACAGAAGAGGGGAAACTGTTAGGACCTGTGCAGCCTGCCGTCAGCTCCCTGAAGCCAAGGTGCCTGCTTAGTTAGTGTCCCAGGCTCAGGAGGGGACTGGGCAGGTGCAGGCACTGACCAGGAGCCAGGGCCCAGCCAATGGCTAGCAGGGTTCTGAAAGCAACAGCTGTAGTGAGTGGTGTGGTGTCCCAACCTCTTCTCCAGGCTTCTGGCCTCTGAGAACCTTGACTTTTCCCACCTGGTCCTTTTCCATCAGCAGTGCTGTCCTGTTTCCCGAGTGTCCCCCAACCCACCAGATCTCATCTGTGCCATGTTTATAATCAGTGTTTTGTATTTTTGTACGGAGACATATTGGAGCACTTTAGAAAGGCTAAATTCCTGCTCTATCGCGAAGAGAACATTCCTGGACTCCTGCACTGGCTGGCCTCCCAGCCTGTTTGTCTGGACCACCCACCCAGACATGAGGACTCCTTGAACTTAGACAAGCGCAAGGAATTTCTGCCCAACCACACAGCGGACCATCAGCAGGAAGGGGGCCTCCCCGTCAGGTGGCCAGGGAAGGGGGGGCTCAGTCAGGCTCCACACGCAGTAGGGCAGCATAGCCGGTTCACCCTCTTACCACACCCACGGTCACTCCTGGGTAGAGCCCAATTTTATTTGTAAAGCTGGTGGCTGCGTAGTTCCCCGTTTCTGTGGGTCCATGCTTGTGGTCTTTGATGATCGTGACCATGACCTTAGCCAACATGACAATTACTTCACAGTGATTATGTTTCCTACCACCAGGTGTTTGGGAACCACCCTAGAACTTAAGACCAGATTCTAGCAATAAAAGTGTCTAAGATGATCTCTGACTTAAGTGGCTGTTCTCGGAGTTTGGGGGACTATCTCTAGTCCAAGTGTCAGCCTCAGGGACACTGGGAAGCAGGGGAGGGGCAGGCAGGAGGTGATAGCCATCTGCACAACTGCTGTGGGGCTAAGTCCAGGCATAGGGATGCTAGCCCCTTGGGGGACTTTGAGCTGGCCCACTCCCTGGTCTGTCCCCTGCTAAGTTCCCCCAACCGCAGCTGTCCCCTGAGATCTGCCTGACAAGCCCCTTCCCCTGAGGCGCCCCTAGGCCTTCCTCTGCACGGGCTCCTGAGAGGTCGAGTCCTCCACCATGGGGTATGCACGGATGTTCCAAAGGAAGGCCGGGCTCGGGGTCCACAGAGGGGCCAAGCCCTGAAGTTGAGAGCTACTGAGCCACAACAGACCAGCCTCCAAGACAGACGGTGGATTAGTGGTCACAAGCCCAGGGGGAAGGAGGGCAGCGGGCGATGGCTAAGGGTGCAAGGTTCCTTTTCACGGAGTGAAAACATTCTCGGCTGGTTGTGGGGGTGACTGCACAACTGAATCCACTAACCACTACTGGCCCGTGCACCTGGAGCAGGAGAGGGGCAGGCAGGGGGAGTGTGCTGCTGTCAACTTCAGAGGGCTGGGTGGCTCAGTGGCAGGACGTGGGCTCAACACAAGGCTCTGGGTCTTGTCCTCAACACAAACAGAAAAAACTAAAAGAACATGAAGAGCCACTGGACCCCTCAGAAGTGGGAAGGGGGCCCCCTTTTTTGGGAGCACCTACTTGCTCTGTGCCTGCACCCCATATGGTCAGTGTCCCAGGCCTTCTGGTCCAGCTTGTATGCCTAAGCCTGGCTTTCCTTCTCTGGTTTCCTGTGGCCAGGCACCACATGGAGGCCCTTACAGGTCTGAGCTGTTTGAGGCTGCAGAGGGGTTACTGGGTGTTGCCAAGACCCTGCCCCTCATCTCCCTGGTGCCCCTGTGCTGAGGGCCAGGGTAGACACACAACCACCCACATGGATGGAGACTGACTGGGCCTGGCCCACATGTGGGTCCTGACGAGGAGGCCCACAGATTAACAGGGCAGGGCACCTGGCCTGGGGACAGGGAAGGGGGAGAGTCCGTGCCACATGAGGCTCAAGGGAACACACACTGCCCCAGGGTCTTCCCAGGGGTGTGCAGACTCAAACATCCTTTTTTGCCTTCAGACTAGAGAACGAACACGTCCCAGCCCACCACATTTCCATGGTGTGGTACACATGGTGTGACACCAGCTCACATGGCCTGGCCTCAGGTCAGAGCCCATGAAATGCACATAATGGCCCAAATGGACCTCAGTGGCCATGGGTCCGTCACACGTGATATGAGTTAAGTGTAAGACCAGAGCCACAGTGAGCAGGAGGAGGGTGTGGCATGGGCGTGGCCTGGCAGGAAGCAGCATCCCTGTCCCAAAATCTGAGGCTGCAGGGAAGGGCGCTCAGGGCTAAGGCTGCCCAGGGTGAGTGGACAGCACTTACTCAGAGATGGAGAGAAGCTGTGGGACCAAGAGCATCCTGGAAGGCGGGCTGAGGAAGAGAGGTTCCAACTGGGCTGTGTCCGCTGGTGACAGCCAGTGGGTGTGGGCCTGGGCCGGCGAGGGGCCAGGAGCCATCAGTGTAATCATCTCACACTTGAACTGAGCACCAGCACCAGAATGTTTAATTGATTCTCGTTCCAGCTTTCCCAAGGTCTCACTTGAAGCATGGCATGTGTCTCTCCTGCTTGTCTTCATTTGCATATAGGACCCGGCCAGCAGACAGAAGGCTCTGCAGAGGCCCACACAGGGCCTTTCCAAGCTCTGCCTTGGCTTGGGAGTCCTGGGGTCTTCCCCATTTGGCCCTCAGAGAAGAGCTTTTCCCACCAAGGCCCTGGCTGGGATTGGAGGGTCCCCATACCAGCCCCTCTTCCCTCCCTACCTATGCACCTGCGCCAGGGCTGCTCAATCACAGACGCATCCCCTGGCTGGTGGTTGCTCTGGGAAGGGGCCCTCTGTCGGGTCCAGCTGCATCCACCTGCTCCTCACACCACGTCAGGGGCTGGCAGCCTCGGGCTGGCCACTAGCCTGGGCCGCCTGGTAGATGCTGAGCAGGGAGGAGATGGTGCCCATGAGGCCCACCAGCCACGGGGGGAAGCGGCCGGCCCACAGGACACCTGGTGGCAGCCAGTGCACGGCGTTGGCCAAGTCAGCCAGGTTGCTGAGAAGCGTCAGCACCTCCGAATGCATCCGCACCTCGATGGCCCTCTGCTTGCTCTGGGGCAGCCGACTGTGGGAGCAAAGCAGCCACTCACAGCCCGCCCAACCCCTCGCCCCAGGAAGGCCCCAGACTGGAAAGAGGACGGAGCCTGCCTGTGAGAGGGAACGGCTGGCGGTGAGGCCATCCTGACCTTCCATAGGGTCTGCACCCCCAACTCCCCCATAGGGAGCCCCCAGCCTCAGACCCATACTCCAGACTCCCTGGAAGACAGGTGGGGAGGTTGTATGGGGGCTATAGGGTTTTAGGAAGATACCACAGTGACAGTGGCTACTGTCCTCAAAATCTTGCCTCGAGATCATCCTCCCAGCCAGGGGCACAGCCCTGAGCACCCAGCCCTGGGTCCTTGCTCTAGCAGCCCCAGTTTCCCCATCTATGAAAGGTTCTACTTCCCACCCAGAGGCCAAGGTGAGGCCCTGTGGCCTGCACACACACGGGCCAGGGAGGGGATAGCTGATCACCAGCAGCCCAGAGGGGCACTTTCCCGGCAAGGCCCGGACTTACCTGGTGAGGTTGGTCATGGGGTTCCTCAGCCTCTGCCTCAGCCTCAGCACCGTCCACAGGGACCTGTAACATCAGAGACAAGAGGGAGACCCACTGGAGCAGCAGGTACCCTGGTGGGGCAGGGCCTGGCTCCCCGAGGCCACCTGGGTTGGGGGGCCTCTGCCACCTGTTACTACAGCCACAGGTTCCTTCAGAGTCTGCTGAGCTCTGGGACAAGCGCTCTTCCCTTTCCCTGCCACCAAGGGTCCTGTGCCTGTAGGGCAGAGCTCCGCCCCTGGCAGTGCCTCAGAAGCCCCCAGGACAGGTCACACAGCCCCATGCTGCCCAGGCCACACCATGGACCTGCCCAGGGATGAAAGGCCATGAGCCAAGTCCCCCTCTGACCTACAGCCTCTGCCACATCCAGAGCCTGGCCCAGGAGTCTCTGAGCACATAGGGAGAGACCGGCAGGCTGCATCCACAGACAGCGACCTCAAGGGGACCTCTGAGATCAAGGGGTAGCCACTGCCAACAAACAGAACATGAGGAGACAGAGTGCCGGCAGCATGGAGACTAGAGACTGGAAGGAGCTGCTCAAGCCTAGGCAACGGGGGCCTACTTTGGGGGGGGGGTCTTTCTGGTTTCCAGACTGTGGACAACTAGCACCTTGTCAGGGCATTGGTAAGGATGTGCCTCATCCTGGGACAAGTGACAGCAGATGCAGGCACTGTCCCCAGAACAAAGAAGGTTCAGCCTCCCTTCAAGAGGTTAGGGATGGCTCCTCCTCACTCCAGGGATCTGGGGCTTCTCGGCCATCATTAACATGGGGACTGGAGGACCCTGCTCCTCAATGTCTTCTCTAGGCCAGGGGGTTTTGAACAAACTGTCTCAGCAAATTTGCAGAGGAACACATTTAGGAGGAACCCATTACTGTGAGGTTCTAGAAACCATCAGCTTTCAGAGCACAAAGGCAGTCAGGAAACGGCTGGCTTGTTCCTTTGGGGATTCTGCTGACAAAGCAAGCAGAAGTCAGAGTCCAGGGAGAGGTCACCCTGCCATCCGCTTCTCTAGTTCCTTCTCCTTCCTGGGTCTGGTCATCAGAATCACAGCCCTCTGCCCAAGAGGTCCCCAGAACACGTGAATGTGTGGCTGCAGGAAGGATGAAGTACCCTAAGACGGGGGTCATCCCAGATATCAAAGGGGCCCAGCTTCACCACAGGATCCTCAAAAAAGGGAGGCAGGAGGGTCAGGGTCAGGGTCAGAGAGATCTGGAAGATGCTGCTGCTGGCCCTGGAGATGGAGGAGGGGGCCACAAGCCAAGGGCTGAAGGTGCCTCTAGAAGCTGGGAAAGGTGGGACCAGCCGCCGAGGCCTTGACTTTGGCTCAGTGAGTCCTGTGTCGGATCCCAGCTGAAACATGACCTTCTAACTGCAGGACTGTGACATGATCAATCTCTGTTTAAAGCTACCAAGTCTGTGTCATTTACTACAGCAATTATTAGAAATAAACATGGCAGGGTGGCCAAGAAAGAGAAAAACTCCAAGAGCTGGAGACCAGACCCTCAGGCCAAGGCAGCCTGCCAATGCCACCGCAGCCCTGCTGAGGAGACTCCACCAGGGACCTCAGGGCTCCCTCTGGCTGATGTCACTCACCTGGCAACCCCCAGGAGCAGGGAGAAACCCCAGAGGGCAGTGCTCAGGGTCCACCATCTGGCAGAGTCCATGCGGAGGACCTTGGCGTCAGCGGCCCAGGCCACGTGCTCGCACGGATAGTAGAGCTGGTCAGCTACGTTGCCCAGGACAGACAGCCAGCGGACAAAGACGTCCTTCTCCTGCAGCGCCAGGGAGACGAAGGGCCCACAGTCAGACCTACACACTGCCCACTTCAGGGCTGTGGCCGCAGCACCATTTCTCCCCAACACAGTCCCAGGATCATGCCCAGGCCCAGCAGGCTGTCCATGGCCAGCTGCTGCAGATGAGGACGGCCCGGGTCCCACAGGCTCGTTTCTGCTCCGAGCAGCAGGTCTCAACTCAGCTGGGCAATGGAATCCCCAGGGAGTTTAAAAAGCCCATGCCCCAACGCCAGCCCTGAGGATCCTGCCTCCATGGCAGGCGACGCCAGCTCTGGGATGTTGTCCGTGGATCTATATTTTAAGTTCCTCGGGGATTCCTCCCAAATACGGCCAAGTGGGGACACCTGCACCAGCCTGCCTTCCTGAAGGCTTCCAGTTCCTGCACACGGGCTCAGCTGAGGCTCTCTGATGCAGGACCCTGGGTGGGGGCCAGGGCAGGCCACATGCAGGGACCAGGGGGAGGAGGGTGGTACAGTGGGACATGAACACCAGCTGCCACACCCAGTGTCAGCTGCATGCCAGGCCAGCACAACAGTGCAAGGCTTGTGTCACCTCCCCAAACCCAGGAGCTCAGCACCTCACATCACAGACTGCAGATGGAAGCCCTTCGCTCCTCCTCAAGCAAGGACTGGCCTCCTGGCAGATGAAACAGAGCCCCCAGGAGCCCTCGGTCTGCCCCATGCTGGGCCACCTGCCCCACGTGTTTGTTCTTTGGGGTTTTGTTCTGTTTGCAGCGCAGCGTTTAAACCCAGAGCCTTGTGCGCTGAGCTCCACCCCCAGCACCTCTGCCCCCAAGTCCAGAGTAACTACCTGTATGTACCCAGCCAAGCAGAGCTCAGTGCAGAAGCAACAGATGCACAAAGCATACCAGGTGGCCATAAAGAAAACAGGAGATCTGTTTAGTGGGATCAGAATTGGCCTCCCAGTTGAACTGTTCGGAGGAAACGGTAAGTGGTAGAACAGAGTAAACGGTCCAACTAGCAACAACACACTTGCGCCTGCGTAGATACAGGAAATCTCACCAAGGAGACAAGGAGCTGATCACAGCTCCTCTGAGGAGGAACTCTGGGGTCCCAGAGATCAGGGTGGATTATATACTCATGGGTCACACAAACAAGCAAGCTTTGTTTTTAAATCAAGGGCTGGGGATGTAGCTCAGTGGAAGAGCTCTTGCTAGCAAGTGTGAGGCCCTGGGTTCCAACCCCAGCACTGCAAAAAATTAAAAATAATAAAATTCAAATTAAAATGAGAACATCTGATCATCTCAAAATAGAAAGTAAAATTTAAAAGATAATAAACTGTCCAACAGGGAGCCCTTTGGGACAAGCCCATAAAACACCAGCTGAGCCCAAGGCCACAGGCTTCCCAAGGGTGGGGACCCCTCCCTACAGCCCCTGCAGTTACCTCTGACCCCAGGCCGTACTGCTTGGTGTAGACAAACATGGCCAGGTCATCAAAGAGTCTCAAGACGGTCCTGCAGTGGCTGAGCTGGGCCGACACCACTAGCAGGCGTGTGCCCACTTCGGACCTGGCAGGACACTGTTCAACCAGGACCCCGCCAACCAGCTGGCAGCAGTACCCCAGAGTTCGGATCTGTGGGAAACCAGAAGCAATCAACATGGCCCTGCTCCTGAGCTGCACTGGACCAACCGGCCGGGCCCCCGGCCCTGCAGGACTGAAGGTGCAAAAGTCAAAACCAACAAGCATCCAACAAAAGCTCAGTCAGAAAACAGGACAAATGGAAAAACACCGGACAATGGTCTAAAAGGAGAGTCTAACAAGAGTCCTGGCTCATGTCACTGAGGGGCACAGCCTTTGGGGACAGTGGTAATGGGGACAAAGAAAAGAAAACTGCTTCCCACCTCCTTAGTCCTCCTTTCCCAGCAGGCCAGAGGAGGGTGAGGTTGGAATGTACATTTGCATCTCCCTGGCTGGGCAAAGCCCTTAGCTGGGCCGCAAGCTGGGAGCAAGTGACCTGTCTCAACCCAGTGAACAGGACAGTAATTTGTTTGAATTACTTTAGTGACAAAGGGCCCACTCAATAAGTGATTTGGAGGATCACAAGAGAGATCAGGTTCACCACCCGTGTGTCTTTCATTATTTCACCTGCTTCTCAGAAATTGCTAGTTCCTGTTGTTTTACATATTACTTTACCTGTAATTTCTTTTGAGCCCAGGTGTAATGGCAACCTGCCATTTAATTGTCCAACTTAGGAGGTATTAAAACCTGACCATTCACCCATAGGGGACTTGGTTGGAACCTATCTGCCTCGCCACCCTGTTCAACCTAAATGCTACCTAGGAGGGACTGGCCAAGACAAGCTAAGAGTCCAACCTAAGGGACTTGGATGGAAAAACCTTAATGCTCAATTAGAGGAGATTTAGTTGGAACCTAAAAATCCAGACATAGGGGGAGTCCTGAATCATTCTAAATGCTGAGATCATTCACAGCAACCTAAGAAGCAACTACAATGACCTAGTCAGATACTCATATCCAAAGGTAGGAATCTGCTTGGTTAGTAAATGTCCAGTCAGGATGGGTTGGCAGGGACAATCTAAATGATCAAACTACAGGGGACTTGAATGAAACCCACAATGGCTAGGTTACAGTAGGGGCCTGGCCATTGTGGGCTCCCTGGTACCAAGTTGGCTGAAACAACCTAAATGCTCAACTTGAGGGGATGTGGTCAGAACCTAAATGTCCAGCCACGGGGGAAGCCCTGCAACATCCTAAATCCCCAGAAGAAAAACTGTTCAGGACAACCCAGGAACTAACTTCAGTGGCCTGATCAGATCCCAAGGGCTCACACGAGGGAACTGAGGCAGTGGTTTGGCAGGAACAACCTGTATGTCCACCCTTAGGGGGCGTGGTTTGAGTCTAGCTCAGGCAGGGCCTTTGCAGTGAGCGATCCTGAGCGACCCTGTCCCCTCTCTGGCCTCAGTTGCCCCATCTCTGAACTTCGACGGAACTCGTGGCCTCCGGCCCCGCTCGGCCCCAGCCTCACCAGGCGGTCGCGGCCCCGGTAAGACTCCAGCGCCGACGCCAGACCGTTCAGCGCCGCCATGGCAACTCCGCCGTGACGTCAGCGCGACGTCAGCGCGCCGCGCCAGGGGGCGGGGCTAGACCGCGTCCCAGGAGCTTCCGAGTGGCCCGCGAGCACGCTGCGCAGGCGCGGCCGCTGCCCTTTGTCCCTGAACTGGACTTTTGTCTGTTCCACCCGACTTTGCAAAAGTTTGGCGGCCACGTGTGTGCGGCCCGGGCCTGTGACCGGATGAGCCAGCTGGCCGTCATTTGCCCCATGGCGGCCTGATCAGCTGCCCACACACAGGGCATTTCAAAATTGTGTGCAGTAACCATGGATTAGCTCGCCCAAAATTTCTCAAAAAAGTGAACACCCATTTCCTTTTTTTTTTTTTCCCCTTTCTTTGAGGTGGAGTTCACATAACGTAAAGGCCACCATTTTAAAATGTATAATCCAGTGCCACTTAATACATTCACAGGTTGTGCCCCCACCTGCCCTCACTGGTTTCAAAGTATTTTCATCAGTCCCAAAGGAGACCTTCAGAGGAGACCAGAACATGCCACCACAAAATATGCCGCCTTGGCATGAGGAGTCCTTTGAGCTAAAGGCAAAAGCACACAGGAAAACTCTCTGCCCTCCCACTATTTTCCTAAAAGGAAGATAAGTTTACAAAGGTGTCCTCCCACTTACCAGGAGGGACAAGTGTCCATCACTACAGACATCTTTGGGTCCTTATGCACCAGAGGAATCTATTTAACAAACTTTGCTAACCGTCCTTTAGCTGCCATTTATCTTTCTATCCATAATTTGCCACCACGAGAGACTCAAGTCCTTCTCCCTTGTCTTGTCACTTCTCTAAAAATTCACTGTTCCTGGTTGATGATGCCTTATAAATAAATCGGAGTTCCTACCCACCTCTTGAGAATGACAGTTTTCTGGGTGTCGCCCATGTATACCTGAGATACCCGTGTTAATGTTTGCTTCTCTCCAGTTGATTCTTTTGTTACAGGGTCCATCTCAGCTTAGAACTGAGGGTGGAAGGAAAATTATTCTTGCTCAACACCGTGGTCCTATTAAGCAGTCATGTGTAATAGTCCCTGGTCCTGGTGACCACTAGTCTGCTTTTTCTATACATATTACCTATTCTTGATATTTCATATAAGTGGAATCAGACAATATGTGACTGCTATGGTTTGGAGAGGTGTCCCCAAAGGCTTATGTGTTGAGGGCTTAGTCACTAGCCTGTGGCATTATTGGGAGGTGATGGAAACTTTAAGGGGTGGGGCCTAAATTAGGTCACTGAGGGCATGCCCTGGGAAGGGACATTGGAACCCTCCCATTCCTCTCACTCTTTCTGCTTCCCAGCCACCCTGAGGTGAACAGTCCTCCTCTGCCACATGCTCCCACCATGACATTGCTATGTCACCCAGAGCAATGGGGTCAAACAACCATGAACTGAAACCCCTGAAACCGTAAGCCAAAAGAAACCTTTCCTCTTTACAAGTTGACTCAAGTATCTTGTTACAGTCGTGGCAAGCTGCCCAACACGATGACCATTTGTGTACTGCTTCTTTCACGGAGTGTAACATTTTCAAAGTTCACCGACACTGCAGCATGGTCCAGAGTTTCACTCTTTTATGTGGCTGAATAATATTCCACTGGATGGTTATACCACATTTTGCTTCTCCATCCATCATTGATGAACATTTGGGCTGTTTCCACCTTTTGGTTATTATGAACAGAGCTGCTGTGAACATTCATGTGCCATGTACTTGCTTGACTACTTTCTTTCAGTTCCTCCGGGTATTTATCTAGGAGTGGAATTGCTGTGTGTATGTGAGGTGCTAGGAGGGAACCCAGGAGAGCTTTACCCCTGGGTTTTTTGTTTTGTTTTGTTTTGTTTTTGTTTTGAGACAGGTTCTAAGTTTCTGAGGGCCTTGCTAAGATGCTGAGGCTGGCCTCAAACTTGCAGTTCTCCTGCCTCAGCCTCCTGGGATGACAGGCATAACTTTCTGAAGAACCACCCAACTGTCTTCCACACGGAGTGCACCATCTCAGAACTTCACCCGCTACCCTAAGGACACGTATGACTGCACATTCTTGCCGCAGGACTTTGCCCTGCTGTTCCCTTTGCCCAGACACCTGCGTGGCTCCCATGCTACCCTCCTCTGAATGTCCCCTGAATATCATTTTCTCAGGAGAGCTGCCTGATCACACCCTCAGGGACACTGCCTGCGGTTTCATCCTCCTCAGCCTTTAGCATTATCGAATTGATCATCTGCATCACAGAAGAGGGGTCTTTTTTAAGCTTTGAGGTTCAGGGCAAGGCACTGGCTCTGTTCTCAGTGACATCACATCCTGGCGGTGGCCTTGGCTGGAGGCCAGAGGATGGGAGGCGCCAGGCTTGCTCCTTTCAAGACAACTCTCTCCGGAGAACGACCAAGAAATCCCACAAGAACTCCCTTCAGAGGACATGCCCAAGGACCCAAGGGTCCCCCAAGCCCCAACTGCCAAAGGTCCCAGCAGCCCCCAATAGCGCTGCACTGCCCGCCGAGCCTGCAATAAGGTGGACCCTTACAGGACGCACAAGCAGCTCCCAAACCACAGCAGCCATCAAAGCCAAACACAGGCTGGAGTGTGGCTCAGTGGGAGAGCACTTGCCTGGCATGGGTGAGGTCCTAGGTTTGATCCTCAGCTCTACATATAAATGAAGATTCATTGACAACTAAAAAAATTTTTTTTTAATTTTTTTAAAAACAAACTACGTGTTCTGTTTATTTTTCTAGTTGCCTATCTCTCCTCAACAGATTGTGAACTCCACCAGGGCAATGATGTTGGTCTGTCCTGGAACAAAGTGGTTCTCCATAAGTGGGATTGCTTGCAGGGCTCAGCTCCCTGTCCAGGGCTCTCTTCTCACCCTCCATATGGTCCTGGGAGAACTTGTCCACTCCCAGGTACAGGGCATTTGGTTGGAACTCGCCACAGCTAGAGCTGGGAGGGGATTGCAACAAGTAAATGTCCAGTTAGAAGCATTTTGGCCATAATCTAAACATCCATCCGTAGGACAGCATCCTGAACCCTTATGTGACATCATTCAGCACAACCCAGGAACTAACCTCGGTGGCATGACCAGAACCTAAATGGTCAAACTGGAGATTCGGTTGGTATGGGAAGGTCCAGCCTGATCCAGTCCCCAGTACTCTTCCAAAAGACAAGATCCCTGGCTGGGCGCCGTGGTGCACACCTGTCATCCCAGCAGCTTGGGAGGCTGAGGCAGGAGAACCTCAAGTTCAAAGCCAGCCTCAGCAAAAGCGAGGCGCTAAGCAACTCAGTGAGACCCCGTCTTTAAATAAAATACAAAAGAGGGCTGGGGATGTGGCTCGGTGATCAAATGCCCCTGCATTCAAATGCCCCTGCATTCAATCCCTGGTACCCCTGCCCAAAAGAAAAGATCCCTGGAACCCATCTATTTCTTCCTGGCCCACAGCCCCCTCCTTCAGCAGTCCCTGTTCTTGCTCACCTAAGACCCTGACTTCCCCATAACCGCCCAAGCAGTGCACCAGGCCTGGTTTATGCTTGACAAGCTCCACCATGGAGCTACACCCCGCCCAGCCCCACAAGAAAATTTTAACTCCACATCCAACCAGTGCCCGTCCCTAGTAAGACTTGAGTGCAGGGGGGTCTGTGTGCATCATCCTCCTGTAATTGGGGTCACTGTTTCTGCAGCAGAAAAAGATCCAAGCCAAGATGGAAGCGTGCAGAAGAAAGGAGGCCTCTAGTTTCTGCTGATGCATAATTGGCGGATCCTTTCTCTCAAGCCCGTGCAGTCCCCCACGACTTTGTGATACCACAGTGCCTTTCTCCGGGCAGCTGCTGGGTACCAGGCCCTGTTCCAGGCACCTGAGACACATCAGTGAGCTTTGCAGGCACTGCCCAGCCTTCCCAGCACCCGCCATCTGGTTAGAGCTGAACTTGACCTTGGAGAAAGAGACTCAAGCTGGCCTGGCCTTCACAGCTGGCCTTGGTGTTGCTAGGCACTAGTCTGGCAGTCACAGCTGGGCCCCGGCCAACATCCTCCTGCTCAACATAAACAATCCCATGGGATGCCAGCATCAGACAAGGCCACTCTGTGACCCTGGGAGGGCAAGACAAAACAAGCCCGCTCGGCGAACACATCGGAACCCAGGCAGAGCAGGAACGTGGGTGAAGGACCCCCTCCCCCTAAGGAGAACCTTGATAACCCTTCACCCGTCGCAGATTTAGTCTTGCTGCATTCCTCCAACTTCTTCCTGAAAACGATTAAGATACGCAGTAACAGAATGACCTCAATCCCGGCTTCCTGTGAGCTCCCGATCTGCCTCCCAGACCCTCCTTTTCCCAGCAGGCAGCAGGACTAGGCTGAAGTATGAATTGCAGCCGCCTGGCTGGACCAAAGCCAGGAGCTGGCAGCAGGTGCTCAGACCTCAACCCAGGGGGCGAAATGATGATTAGCCTGAATTCAGTGAGAAGGAGCCATCGCGAACTGGGTCAGCTTCGCCACTCTGACATCGTTATTTGGTTTTGGTTTTGATGCTTTTAATTTCTCAGTCAACTGGGCACGATGGTGCACGCCTGTAATCCTGGCAGCTCAGGAGACTGAGGCGGGAGGATCGCGAGTTCAAAGCCAGCCTCAGCAAGACCCTAAACTACTCAAGTAGACCTGTCTCTAAGTAAAGTATTAAAAGAGCTGGGGATGTGGCTTAGTGATTGAGCACCCCCGTGTTCAATCCCCAGTACCCCCCCAAAAAATTTTCAATTAGTTTTACTGAAGTACAATTTATATACAATAAAATTCACCTTTTTTTTTCTTTTGGGGGTATTAGGGATTGAACTCAGGGGGCACTTGACCACTGAGTCACATCCCCAGCCCTATTTTGTATTTTAATTAGAGACAGGGTCTCACTGAGTTGCTTAGCACCTTGCTTTTGCTGAGGCTGGCTTTGAACTTGCAATCCCCTCCTGACTCAGCCTCCCAAGCAGCTGGGATTATAGGCGTGCGCCACCGCGCCTGGCTAAAATTCACTATTTTAAGTATACAGCTTAATGAGTTTCAGCAAGTGTATACAGTTACATAATCCACCATGACAGTCAAAATACAGAACATTTCTATCATTTCCCAAATCTCTCTTGCCTCTCTTGTGTGTTTTCTCCCTCAGCCCTGGGGACTGAACCCAGGAGTACTTACCACTGAACTACATCCACAGTCCTTTTTTTTGAGTCAGGTTCTCACTAAGTTGCTGAGGCTGGCCTCAAACTTGCAACTCTCCTGCCTCAGCCTCCCCAGCCAATGGGATGACAGGCATGCACCACTGCTCCTGGCCTCCCCCTCCCTTTTTAAAAATATTTTCTAGTTGTCAATGGACCTTTATTTTTATATGCGGTGCTGAGAATTAAACCCAGTGCCTCACACATGCTAGGCAAACCCTCTACCACTGAGCCACACCCCTAGCCCCTGTATTTTTATTTTAATTTAAAAAAAATTTTTTTTAGTTGTTGATGGACCTTTATTTTATGTATTTGTATGTGGTGCTGAGAATCGAACCCAGTGCCTCACACATGCTAGGCAAGTGCTCTACCATGGAGCCACAGCCCCATTATATTTTTAAAATTCACTAATTTTTAAAAACAATTTTAGATATAGGGTTTCATTACATTACCCAGGCAGGCCTTGAACTCCGGGTTCAAATGATCCTCCTGCTTCAGCCCCCTTAGTGCTGGGATACAGGCACGCACAGTGGGTTTGGTACACTGTATGTTCACAGGAACACAGCACGGTGTTTTGATACATGTGCATGCTGGGCAATGACCTCCTCAAGCTAATTAACATAGGCATTATCTCACACAGTTTTGTGGTGAGAACATTTAAAATCTACTCTCTGGCTGGGGGCATAGCTCAGTGGAAGGGTATTTGCCTAGCACGGGGAAGCCCTAGGTGGATTCCCCAGCACAGCAACTTTCAACTATACAGCACAATATTGTTATGCTGTTGTATTATATATTATTTTTATTTGTCTGATCATCTCAAAAAAAAAAATGTAAAATTTCCAACCACTGGGTATGGGGTGAGGCCCTGGGTTCCATCCCCAGCAGCGTTAAAAAAAGAAAAAATAAAAAAAAATCCAACGAACAAATGCATCCAGCACAGAACCAAGTTCAGGGTCCTTCAACTCTCCCCCCGACCACCTCACTGGGCCCAAATCCTCCTCAGTGTGTTCTAACTCTCAGGCACCCCTGGGACCACTAATAAGCCTGAGTTAAGTCAACCTGGAGCGTGCACCTGAACCCTTTGGCTGGTGGGGCAAACTGACCCCATAAGAGTGCGCCTCGCAGGTCTGTGAGCCCTGGGATGATGTTAATGGATGCAGAAACGGCGGGGAGGGGGGAGAGGGGCCACCAGGAGGAGGCGAGGAACTGCTCCCGGTAGCCTATGGTGACCAATACTCACTGGTCATTACCATGCAGTCCCCATTTTCCAGATGACAAAAATGAGCCTCCAAGAAGTCATGTCTAAAAGCCTCAGGAAGCAGGGTTGAGAGCCAGGTCCCCCCGCCTGCCTCCAGGGATGCCCGAGGACCATTGTGACAGAATCGTCAGGGGAAGCTCTTGGTCACAATACGCTGAGCCGGACCACACTTGGATGGAGCCCTTGGAAGGACCACATGAGTGTCCTCTGGAAGAGCTGGGACGGAAGGAGTCCAAGAGTCCCACCTGTTGCCAAGTGCAGGATTCCTTAGCTCCCGTGTCATCTCTTGAGGTAGGTCTCTGTCCTTGTCCCTGACCCTAAGTGGAAGGATACTCAAAACTACCTGGCCAGCAGTCCTAGTTGTCAGACTCCCATAAACTATTTTAGAAAGACAAGAAAGCCCCAAGTGGCTGAGTGGAGGGGCTGTGAGTCTGAAGTTGAAGGTCGGAGAAGGAAGGGAAGGGGAAGGTTCTGACCCTCAGGCAGCCAGGAGACAGGAGGAGGCCGAGGGGAATGGGTAGGGCCCTGACGGCTGCAGACACAGAAGGAGCACGTGCTGCTTCAACAAGACAGTCGCAGGGGCTGCAGGGCTGGGGTCGAGCAGGACGAGAGTGGGCCCAGGTGGGAAGGAAAAGAGCCATGGCTGAGGATGAGAAGAGGGGTTCCTGTGTGAGACACACATGGAATACAGTGGTTGATATTGGGTTCTAGAATCAGAATGAGTCCTGGTTTCAAATCCTAGGCAAATGGCCACCTCCCTGAGTCTCAATGTCATATACAAAGCAAAGGCTAAAACCCACCTCGCAGGGTCCAGTGTATTAAAATGGGTGCAAAGTGAAAATTCCATACATACTAGCTGTGGATAGACATTTTCCCCCATGATAGTGACCCCCCTCTGTTCTAAACCCTACTACCATCACCCCAACTTCATACTGAGAAAATGAGGTTCTCACCAGGGTCTTGCAGGACCTGGGGCCCATTCCTCTCCCATCTCATTGGCTATGGTGTTTTCATTCACTCACCTTACGTGTCTCTGGGCTTTTGCACTTTCTGTTCCCTCTGCCTGGGATGCTGTTCCCCCTAGATACTCAAGTTTCTCCTTTCCAGCTTTGTCAGATAGTTAACCAGCAGTCATCTCGGGGATATGATCCCTGCTTAAAGCTGCAACCCTGGATTGGGGTGTAGCTCAGTGTAGAGGGTTTGTCTAGTACCAGGGAGGCCTCGGTTCCATCTCCCGCACCACAAAAACAAAACGGAACACCTGTAACCCACCGAACCCCTGCATGACTTTTCCCCCCACCACATTACCACCAAACGTACACTGCAACTGATGTTATTATATTTATTTACAATTGTACGTCACTCCCTGCCTCATTGTCAACTACATACAGATTCTTGATCTGGATAGTTAACTGATGTACCTGCCCCTCCCCGGGCCTAGAACAGTGCCTGGCACACACGGCAGGCACCAACCGAAAGATCATCCCTCCACTTTCCCTGGGGGCAGGCACAGCTGGGCCTGTATTCTGGTGTCCGCCACCCCCCACCCACCCCCAGCGCGGTGCTTGGTGTCAGGAAAGGAGTCAAAGGCAGCATTGTCCTCGGTGGCCACTGGCTCCGAGTGTCTTTGCCCCCTCGCAGGTGGCACAATGTCCGGTGCTAGCAGCGAGCGCCCTCCTGCCGTGCCCGATGTCCCAACTGGACTTCCTCAAGGCCTCGCACTTCGCACTGGGGCCGGACTCCCGGCTGCACCGGGGCGCCATGCAGTCCACGATGCACCGGGACTTCCCGGCCCACCCGAGCCCCACCCCGAAGCAGCCGAGGGCGCCGCCTCCACTCTCGGCGCTCTTCCAACACAACGCGAGCCGGGCGGGACGGCAGCAGGTGTCGGAGATGCACCGCGAGTTCACGCCACGGGACGTGAAGCCTCCGGAGGAGACGCGGGAGCGCACGCTCTCCAGGCAGTCCAGCAACCTGCGCATGCACGCGGACGAGCGCACCGGCGTCAGCTTCTCCAACGCGCGCGCCGCCTACGGCTGGCCCGAGCAGCCCGCGCACGCCCGCGAGCTGATACGCGGCGCGCGCCTCATCTTCGACCGCGACTCGCTGCCGCAGGGAGACCGAGACCAGCTGCGCGTCCCGCCCACCACGCATCAGGAGCTCTACCCGCCTCACGACGCGTGCCCGCCGCCGCGCGCGCCTTGCTACCACCTCGGTGAGCGCGCGCCGGGGCCCCCTGAGCGATTTGAGGGAAAACTTGGCCATGTCTGGAAACATGGTTGGTTGTCACCCCTGAGGCTGAGCGTGCCGCTAGCAGGCAGCGGGTAGAAGCCACGGAAGCGGCTAAGCATCCCACCGTGTGCAGAGCAGACCGCCTGAGAAAAGGGAGTCGACAGTCCCACGGTCAGTAGTACCAGGCTCCGAAAACCTGCAATCTCCCGGAGCCTCGGTTTCTGCCTCCGTGGAGTGGATTCTCTCCAGAGAGAAGTCCCCAATGCTAGTTTGAGGTCAGGCAAATCTGCTGAGTTGCCTACCTAACCCCCAGCCTTACGGCCTTAGTAACTAGGAGCAAATTGGCCTCTCCGAGCTTTACTTTTCTCATCTGCAAAATGGGTATGATCACAGGGTCCAACCTCACAGGAGCTGGTGAAGCTGAAGGAGCCCAGGCTGCACGGGGTAGCTGGCAGGTAGAACAATATTAGCCACCATCTGTGTGATTTTCCAATTCTGTCACTCCAGGGGTCCTTCCTGTGGACATCAGGAATCACAGTCCCTCCAAGCTGGACTCGGGGATTGTCAGACTTGAATTTGACTCTTAGTTCTGGCCCCTAATTTTTGTGACTTCAAGTAAGTTCCTTGCCACTCTGAACTTCAGGCAGGCTGCAAGACAAGGGGACACCAGGCCCAAGAAGGCAGTGCAGAGCACTGACCCTAGAGCCCGGCTCAGGACTTGGTGGTTATTCGTGATGCTGTTACCTTTATTATTATGGTGTTTTCTGGACTGATCAGGGCTGCCCACCTTCCTCCCCAGGCAAGGAATCAGATCCCAGGGGGCCTGAGGCTGCAGGGAATCCATCCCACTCCCCTCTCTCTCCCACCTCCTCTTCCCCTCCACAGGTGGTCCCAACACCCTCAAGTGGGGCTACAAGAAACAACAAGGGACCTCCTACCGGAGAGAGTTCCAGGCCCTGCCGGGCTCACCTGCCTTAATGTGTAGGAGGGTAAATCAAGGCTGGGCGGGGGTTGCTGGGGAGGGCAGCCATGGGGGCTGGGTAGTCTTGGCCTTCCATCCCTCTCTGTCCACAGGCCTCCTCCTCTGTGCAACTGGGAGACTGCAGGCTGGGCTATGGGCTCATGTTTTCAGACCTGAAACAGACCCATAGGCCCCAGGGGCTGCCCCCAGACAGGTACCAAAGGACCACTGCCTTCCCCTGCTCCAATATGGACCGTGGCTCTCAACAGCATGTGGGTGTGCCACTTAGGTTCCTAAAGCAGTTGCTGTCAAGGTCTCCATCCTGGGCTGGAAGGTGCCACTGTTGGGCCAGCTCACCCACTATTAGGGTGCTCTGGCTTGACCAGTGGGCCGTTGCCCTCCTCCCCTTTCCTGGGAGTTACAGGGGAAAACACATGGATCCCTCCTTCCTTACCCGCAGGTATGACAAGGCTCAGGCCGCCACTCACATCCACCATGTGAATATTCGTCCTGGAGACGGCCTCTTCCACGACAGGACCACCATGACCGACCACTTCTACGCCCGGGAGCCAGGTGAGAACTACTCCCTGCCCGGCCCCGGCTCCCTCGGCAGCTTTCCCCGGCTGCTCAGCACCTGCTCTACCACTGACAGAGCCTTTTGTTCTTCATGGGGATCAGACTCCGAAGTCCCACATCCTGAAAGGAAATTGGCCCCCGGGCCCCGGCAGCCTCAGCACCTCCATGCAGTTCTTCCACGGCCAGGTCAGTGGGTAGGGAGAGGTGCCAGGGCTCATAGGGAAAAAGACTTAAAAGGCAGAGCAAATAGCAAGTGCAGAGGCCCTGCGATGGGTGTGAGCTGGACACATGCCAAGATCTCTGGGGTCTCTTTGTACCATCGAGGGCAAGTCACTTCACACTTCCCAGCCTCACTGGCTCTGTCCAGAGCGGGAGGGAGCCTCCAGGACCACCAATGGGAGGACTTGGGAGCTTCCTGGGTACCTGTGGGTCCCACAGGTACCACCAAGCACCCAACCACCTGGCCGCCACATGACCCATGAGAATTTGAAGTGCCACGTGATCCTAGGAGAGGAGAAGCTGCTGGGACACTTTTTCCAGACCACCACGGGCTCCCATTACTGCCCCCAGCATGTGGAGGGGTCACAGAAGATACCCAGCCTCCAATTGACACAGAGCAACCTACCCAAGGGCACCTGTGGTGAGGGGAGTGGTCCTTCCCCCTCTAGAAAGCCCCTCCCGGTCACAGCTCTGCCCTGGCTGATGGCTGTGGCTCTGCCACCTAAGGCTTAATATCCCACCCAGAATTGACTAGGCCCCCCAACCCCACCCCTGGGCTGCCCCACCCCTGGTAGCCTTGGCCCTCCCTCCCCCTGTCCCCCATGGCACAACCACCTACTTTCTGTCCCTTTTCTTATCTTCCCTCACTTCCCGCAAACCCCTCCTCCTGTTGGACTCTAGCTCCTCAGGAGCCTGCCCTACCTGGTCATGTCCCTAGTTCATCTGGACGGGCCCTGCCCCACCCCCAGGCCAACCTTAGAGCTTGGCCTCTGAGCCCTTCCCCGCACCTCAGTCTGTCACATCACCGAGGCCTCGTCCTCTGCCCTCTCCGTGGCCGCCCCCTTCCACATCTCCAGAGTTCGATTTTCTAACCATGAACCAGAAGATGCTGAAGCCGCACGGAACAGCTAAAGCCCTGGTGACCAAAGAGTTGTTACAGAAGGTGAGACGGGGGAGGGGTCCAAATCAGTGTGGACTCAGAGTTAATGTCAAGTCCACTAGGGTCACAGCCTGGTCAAGGTCACCCCTAGCTCACCGCCAGGGTCAGGTCAGCATCAATTCAGGGGTATCTTCATTTCACCAGCCAGAGTTAAATCTCAAGCTGAGGGGATTAACTTAGAGTCACCTAGGATCACCCCAACCCTGGGGTCATTCTAGGGGCACCCCTGGTTTCTCTCTAATACCTGGGTCAATCAAGACTGGGGCCCCTTTTGCCCACCTCCCCAGAAACCAGTCACCAGCCAAACCTGGCTGAGCCTGTTCCCACTCTTTGATGACCCCAGGGTGGTCCAGGGCCCACAGGGTGGCCAGAATAGGTCAATTCAACAGGCTGCCCTCCCAAACCATCCACCCTGACTTCACAGTGCAAATACAGCCACCTGGAGCCCCCGCTGGGTGGACAGCGCTTCCTCTCAACCAACTACCAGGTTGACTTTCCTTTCAAGTACCAAGGCTCAGTAGTACTGAAGACGATGAATTTCCAGGAAAGCCACATGCCCCTGGGCACACCTCGCCAGCTGGGCTGCAGGCGCAGGAAGGTAGATCCTCAGGCCCCACAGATGCCTATGTACCCATGCCCCAGCCAGTAGTAAATGTCACCTTGATGGCATCCTGTCCCATTCCATTAGTCGTCTGTTAAAGAGGATGCTTGGATGAGTGGGGGCCAGAGGAAGGAATCACACTGGAGAGAATGTCTCATTCGTTCCATGGAGAAAACCCTGGATGCCTGACCAGACACATCGGCAAACCTTGGGGTTACTCTGAATGATGTGAGAGTATAGAGTCACAGTGTGTGACACAGGCATTGGGGTGGGGGTTGAAGATGCAGGCTCCTGGGCCCCTCTGGACATATGATCCACATCCTGACTCCTCCAGGTCCTGACTTCTCCAAACTTTACCGGAAGACTGGGGTTAACCTTGCTGGACCCCATTTTCCTAGCAACTGATCTGCACCTACCCCGAGCGTCTAGCTTTCCCCAGGACATAATTCTGCAAACCGTCTCTTCCTAATGAGAGTCATTGTTACCTTAACCCCTGTGAGCTTCATCTGTAAAATGGAGCAAAAGAGCAAATCTCTCATGAGATCCTTACAACCGACGGGAAGCTGAGCGGTGCACTGGTTGGCCACATGACCAGCCCTCAGATCAGAGCAGCACCCAGGGAAAACCGAAAAAAGCCACAAGGACACAGTGAGGTCCCAGGAGGTAGGTGTGCAGCCAATCGAAAGTCAGAAGGAAAAAGGTGGAGTCAGGCCCTAAAGCCCCCGAGGGACCAGTACCTTGGACAGCGCCCGACCTTTAAGGTCTGGGGTCTGGTGAAGAAGTTACATCTACCTGGAATAGCGTGGGCCTTGGTGGCCAAGCTGTAGGCTGTTATAACCCTGTTTCAAAGAATGAACCTGGGGGCCAGACCTCCAAAGACCAAGGCACCCCGTCCAACAGCCACAAGGAGCCAACCCTGAGCCTGGTCAGGTTCCCTTTCTCCCTCAGCATCAGCTCTTTGAGGCCAGGCTCTCATTTGCACAGCAAGGGCAGGAGTCCAGCTCGGGACCCCACAGGAACAGGATGGCCCTTTTGGCTGCACTCATAGATAGTCCCATACTGACCCCAAGAGGGTCTGCTGGCCACAGGACCCTTCTGTGCTTGCCTGCACCGAAGACATTTTGCAAGACGCTGCTCCGAGTTGTGTTGTGATAAATCTGGGTTCTCACTCTCGGCCCCACTGGCATCTTGGGTCAGATAATTCTTTGTTGGAGGCTGTCCCTGTGTATCACAGGGTGTCCTCGATCCATTAGTTGTTAATAGCGTACCCCCCCACAACAGGTATTGCCAAATGTCCCCCACGGTGAGGTGTGGCGGAAATTGCCCTGGTTGGGAACCACGGCAACAGAACATCCTGTTCTGGTGAAGCTAGTCTTTTGACCAGATAACTAGAACTTTCCTTTCTGCTTTAGCTGCTAGGAAGCTCAGGTCTCTGTAGCTCCAGTTACAGGGCTGCTTGTGCTCCTGTCTAGTTCCAGGGATGGTTTCCAGCAGCCCAGAGGCCAGGTGAAAAACAATGGGTGGGATTTCAGCACAACTGGAAGCATTTCCTAGTCATGGAACTGAGCAGCCCGGGGTGGCTGGCCAAGGGAGAACAGGCACACTACTGGAAATGTTCAATGAGCATTTCATTTCCCCTGAAAACACTACAGGATGATTCTGGGTGTATTTTTGAATTTACACCCATTCCTCTATTACATTTAGCACCCCCACACACACACACACCAAGGCTTCTGACCAGGATGAATAAAAGAAGATTGAATGTGGGAAACCAATTAATTTTTAAAGGAAAACAATTTCATCAACTGTAAGCAGCACCTGGCAACAGAACTCAGACCTGTCATTTTCCTGTCTTGGACAGGTGGGTTTCAAGCTCTGAAATTCCTCATTTCCTCACCTGTGAAATAGGGACACAATAGTTCCTCCTTGGTAGACAGAGGGATTACAAGGATTAAATAAAATGTGGCTGTGCTTGGTACAGGGCCTGAATTATCTGACCTACAGCTCAACGAATGGCGCCTAAAAATTGTCTTAAGTAAATTTTTTTTTTGTAAGGGACAGAAACCAAGCTCTAGCCAGTCCAAGCAAAAAAGAATTTTATTGACTTAGAAACAAGAGTGTCTGGAATTGGGAGCTGGGAGTGCCTTGGTGCTAGAGCGCGGGCTTAGCATGCAGCATGCGGATGCCCAGGGTTGCATTCCCGGCAGAAACGGGGCGGGGCGGGGGGGGGGACAGGAGGAAAGAAGGAGGGAGGAAATAGAGAGGAAGGACAGAGGGAGGGAGAGAGATAAAGAGGGAAGGAAGAAGGAAAGAGGGAGGGAGGGAGGAAAGGAAGAAACCAAAACAAGGTCTGGAATCACATGGGGTATGCTGGTTCCTCATCTGGACTGTCTTCCTCACCATCTCTCAATCCTATTTCCCTCCAAATGATGGAAAGGAGGATGAAGATAGCTCCAAAGGAAGGAGCTATCTCCCCTTCTCCCAGTAGAATTTAAGAAACACGATGATTGGTCCATTTGAGTCACGTGCTCAGCCATGAATCAATCACTACGCTCAGAGGGATGGTGTACTATGATTGGTTGGCCCAGTTGAGTAGGCCCCTCTGAAACTTTTGGTTCCCCAAACTTTACCGGGAGATTGAGGTTAACCTTGCTGGACCCCATTTCCTAGCAACTGATCTGCGCCTGCCCAGCGCATCTAGCATGCCCCAGGGCATAATTCTGCAAACCATCTCTACCTAGTGAGAGTCATTGTTACCTATTGTGGAGAGAGAGTGGAAGGTGTTTGGGAGTGACCTAGAGACAACCAGTGTCCCCCAGCTATCTATGGTCCCAGTTTTACCTCCCACAGCATTACCTGTCCACTCTTTCAACTTGGAGCAGAGAACTTAGTTTTAATAATCAAAATGGAGCAGATATCAGCTTTTGCTTCATAAGAAGCAGACAAAAAAGCTTGTGTCTTCCAAGACCTTGCTGAAGGCTGCATGAAAGCTCCCACAGATCCCAACATCCTGATATTTTTGTGAAAAGTCCCTCAATCCACAGTCTCAGGAGACATGTGATCGGAGTTTCAAGATAAAATAGGCTACAATTTAATTAGCTGTTTTTCTTCCACATAACAGATTTCTGAGGAGTGTTCCTCTACGAGGCTGTCATATACATCCAGACAGTCTGTGTACTGCACAAACCTAGGGAGCCCTGTTCACTTTATAATCCATGCAGGTGGTGACCCGACTTTGCTTAGCCATTTCCACATTTTAAGTTATTTTTCTCAATGAATGAAAGGGACAGAAATCCTAAAACTAGTTCAGAACCCTGGAAATTTGTTGAGACTAGAAAGAAGGCTTCGGGCTTCAGGCACAAATCTAGCCAGAGCTCTCTCCTTGTCTAACCTCTATATTCTGGTGTATATTGGCCTCATTTTCCAGGCTGTTCTGAACAACCAAGGTTGTGACTGCAGACATGATGAGTCCCTATAGCTCATGATCCCCGATGAAGGGCAAAACCCACCAACTTCACATCGTCATCCCAGACCTAGTTCTTGTGGCCATGTTCTTTGTTAGTACATGGAGATTCATATCAAACTGGGGAGCTTTAGACACAGATCCAACCACAAAAGCAAGGTGCTCAGATGAGCTGAGCAGAGAGAAACAACAGATGTCCTTACGCATGCTGTTGCTAATGAGATTATCCGGGGGTGACAGGATGAGGCACCAGAGACCCCATCCGACTGAAGTCATCTCAGATCATTCAGATCTACTGTGAACTGGCAGGAAGGTCTCAGACCACAGTCCAGCACAGACTCACAAGGTTCAGGAAGGGACACACGCCTGGACATCTGGTTGCTCGGGGCTGTTGGTATTTGCGGGTAGGTGGTGTTTAACACACCAAAGATTCTCAGGAACCCACCTGTAGTCCAAAAAAAAAAAAAAAAATGATTTAGCTTCTTTAGTAAGGAGACAACCACCACGGGGGACCTTAGGGTCCCTCTAGAAGAGGGAATTGGGATTTGGGGAGGATTTGGGCTTATGCTGGGTGGTTTTAAGGAAAGCTGAAGCAACTCCAGAATGTGCTGTGAGGAAGCAGAGAACAAATTCGTGGCAGAAGGTTCAGTGATTTTTAGATCCGAGGTGGGAGGATTGAAAGAGTCGCTGCTGCCATTGGCAAGAAGCAGCAGCATTTGCATTAGTGGGGAGAGGAGGGTGGGCACTCATTTTTTTGTAGTTGCAGTGTGTTCTCGTCTCTATCTTGGTTTAGATATGATCACAGAGTGGCCTTGTCTGATCATTGCTTATATTCTGTGGCCGTTGTTTATGTTTAATAAAGAACATCATGGCCCGGCTGCCAGCTGCCAGGGGCTGTTTTTTCTCACCCCCTCCCCAGCAGGGAACTGTGTTGCCAGGTAGTGTGTCCAGAGCCCTCCCCAGTCCTGGCTAAGGTTTCCCAGAAATCAGCAGCCAAGACAGGCACTTGGAGTCCCCCAGGGATAGCAGCAACTCGTCATCTGGGTAGGAGGCTGAAGACACTAAGGGAAAGAGAATATCTCAGACTCTGCTCCCCTGGGGGTGTAAAAGGGTGTACCCAGAAAGAGTGAGGGGTTCCACTATAAAGAAAAAAATTTGAGAAATTCTGGATTAAGTAAAGATAGACATGTTTTTAAAACCGTGGGGCTTCTCAGAGGCCTCACCATGCTCCTGTGCAAGGCGAGTCTGCCCCAGCCATGTCACAGTTGCTGTCTTTCGAACAAAGGTAGTCAGAGACATTGACAGGAAGCCAAGACAGACACAGGCAGAAAGAGAAACAGAGACAGACACAAAGAGGGGGCAGAGGCAGAGAAAGTGAGGGGACGGGGCAAAGCGACGAACAGAGGACAGGGATAAAGAGATGAGGACCGAGAAAGGGACGGAGAGCTAGGGACTGGGAGAGGCAGGTCCAGAGAGAGAGGCAGAGAGGGCCGGGGCCAGAGAAGGACCGAGAGGGCCCGAGGACAGCCGCAGGGACGCAGCCAGAGCGGCGCGGGCGGGCGCGGCGCAGACAAAGGCGCGGTCG